GCATGCCTGAGGCCCTGGGTTCGATTCCTCAGCACCACATAAACAAATAGAAAAAAGCTGGAAGTGGCGCTATGGCTCAAGTGGCAGAGCACTAGCCTTGAGCTGAAGAGCTGAGGGACAGCGCCCAGGCCCAGAGTTCAGGTCCCACGACTGGACCCTCCCCCCCCCAAAAAAATACAGGAACAGTAAAATGTGTTTTCTTGATGTTTAAATATTTTCCCCATCTTTTCCTTTCCCTTGTAAGCAAAATATAACTAGTTTCCTGGAAAGATAAAGATTTTAACAGTCTGTCTTTAATTGGAATGCTTAATCTATTTTCATGTAGTTATTTGTTTACAACTATATATTTTAAATTTGTCCTACCTGTTCCATATTTTTTGTTTCTACTAGTTGCTTTTAAATAAAATGCCAACTTCATATGCAGCCTGCACATTCTGAACTTATTTGCCTATCATTTTTGTTCTATCTCAATACTACCTGATACATTTAGTAATTTGTGTTTATTCTAAGTAAGTAAATCAGTACCTCATCATAAATAGGAAATAAAACATTAAACTAAAACTTAAAAAAGAATTCACGTGCTAACTTCTGGAAATATTTTTAAATTCCCTAAGTCTTGGCCAAGAGTTAGAGCTACGATACCCTAAATGGTAGCTATTTAAAATTAAAAACTCAATTTCTGTCATAATTTAAGTGTTAGAACCAGTCACACAAAGTTCCTTGCTATCGTATTGGGCAAGGTACTTACCGAACATTTCCAATACTGGTTCTAGATCTTCTCTTTAGCATCACTCACATCTAATGTGTAACAATACTTGTATTTCAGTCTTACAATGTATCAAAGCTCAGGTTTTTGCATATTCCAAGCAATCTGCTTGAAATGCTTTTACCTGATAGTTAACTGATTTCACTTTCTCAATCTCAGCTCATTCACAAGACCATCAGTGCTTGAAAATAGTTCCCTACTGACAACCTCCATGCCATCACAAGCATTGCAATTTGAAATTTTACTCAGCATCTGTTCACTTTCTATCTATACCTAAGCTGTTCAAAGTGATGGAGTCCACAAAAATGTGTATCAAGGCAACATGATAGAAAATATAAACTTAAAGAGATAATCTCAATTCAGTGGTAAATTGTGTCTAGAAAGTCATGTAGAAAGTTACTTACCAAACTTTTTTTTTTTTTTTTGGTCAGTTGTGGGGCTAGAACTCAGGGTATGGGCACTATTCCTGAGCTCTTTTTGTTCAAGGAGAGCTACCACTTTGAGCCACAGCACCACTTCCTGTTTTCTGGTGGTTAACTGGAGATAAGAGTCTCACAGCTTTTCCTGCCCAGGTTGGCTTCAAATAGTGACCTTCAGATCTCAGCCTCCTCAGTAGCTAGGATTATAGGCATAAGCCACCAGCGCTTGGCACCAAAACTTTTAAGCTTTCAAAATACTTAGTCAAATGGAAAGATTAATGAAACTACTGAATAATGGAAATTTATTAAAGACTTTTGAAAGGGAAAATTTAGGCAAATCCAAGTTTAAATTTGAACAGTATCTTAAAAGAGCTAGATCACTTCTGTCAGAAAATCAACAGAAGGAAATACTTTGTAGAATGGGAGAGGTTCATATACCTTTTTAATGTATACACATACACAGAAAAAATTACAGCTATGTATATGAATACATATGTAAGTAGGTAAATATGCATACAACATAAACACAGATCCACCCTTTTTTCCTATGCTGACTTGAATCCAGACCCTTATGTTAAACAAGTACTCTATCTCTAGTCTCATGAACCTCTTAAAATTGCAAGCTACAGTTTAGTTAGTAGTTCTTTACTCTCAGATTTAAAAGCATCATTAACAACTGTTACTTTATACTTTATCTTTACTTAAAATTGTAAGGAACAGGCTGGGCACTGATGGCTCATGTCTGTCATCCTAGCTACTCAGGAGGCTGAGATCTGAGGAGCACAGTTCAAAGCCTGCCTGGGCAAGAAAGTCCATGAGACTCTTATCTCCAATAAACTACTCAGAAAACCAGAAGCAGTGCTGTGGCTCAAGCGGTAGAGCACTAGCCTTGAGCACAAAGAGACTCAAGGGATAGTGCCTAGGCCCTGAATTCAAGCTCCAGGACCAGCAAAAAACAAAAACAAACAAACAAAAAAACCCTGAAAAAACAACTGTAAGGAACAAAGTAGGATATTTTGCTGATACCATAAATGTTCAAGTTGACAAGGAAAAACCACAAAATTCTAACCAAGCCATGAGGAAGATAGAGAAGATAACCTGTATCAAAGTAAACCTGTATCAGATAACCTGCTCAGAGTAAAGAGAAGTTACAGGTCAGACTTTCTAACATATTATTAAATTACTACTTAGACATACTTACAAATTTCTGTGAAATAAACATTTGTTCTTAACAGTACTTTACTAAACAATGAGGGCTGCAAAAATAAATCAAACATTTGACTGCTATCTAATTGTGTCAACGTTCATTTATTTTGGATTGCAGAAATACTTCTGCTCCTTCTCTATTTACAACTTCAATCCAGTTTTACAATTATAATGAACAGGCAAACTTATGAGACAAAAGACCTTCAAGTGTACTAGCAAATACTTTATAGACTAGGCAATTTTCAGACATACTGATTTGATGGAGACTTTATGGCTTGAGTTTTAATGAAAAACTCAATCTAAAGATTTGCTTTAGAACTTTAATATAGGGTAATATTGAGGTTTAAAACCAAAGCAGTGAAGCTGGGTGCTGGTAGCTCACAATTATTCTAGCTATTTGGATACTGACTATTTGGGAGATTACAAGGCTAGCCCAGGCACAAAGTGCATTTTTTCTCAATGGGAATCTTGACATGGTGGTGACTGGGTTAAATTTATGAATTTCTAGAATTTACCTGTTTCTCACTTTCAGTAAAAAGAAAAAGAATACTCCCCCTTACTCAAGTTTGCCACACTAGCAGCTTTGTCTATCACTAACAACTTTGTGGTTTACCACAGACTGTGCTAAGTTGCTAACAAGACTAATGCTACTGAACAGGCTCCTAGAACTGTATTTTTGTAATCAATTCGTAACTTTTGTTTCTTAACAGATTGTAAATGCCTGTGTGTGGCCAACTATTTTATAACTCTCTCTTGAAGGAAAGGGTATTAGTTCCTCTTTTCCAAGGGGCCCAAAGTCCCATTTTGTTCTTCTAAACACTGACTGTCTCAGTACTTTCTACATTACCCACTCCTCCTGCCCCTTTCCAAGTATATCAGGCTGATCTCAGCTCTAATCAGAGCTCAGTCTTTGGTAATCATCCACTGTGTAGCCCACCAGTATAAACAAAGTACCTTCTACTTTGTCCCCTCGCCCCACATACAGTGGTGCCAGAAACTGTCATCCCAGCAAAGGCAGGAAGCCTGACATATGTGACTCACCCAAGGAGTAGACTCCAGCTAAAAATAACCAGAAAAAATGACAAACACAGGGCTGAAGATGTGTATCCAGAATAAGAGTGTCTAAATAATTAGTAAGCCCCAGAGTTCAAGCCCCAATGTCATCTAAAAATAAAAAAATAAAAGGAGAGAATCCAATATATATCCTATAAAATTAATAAGAGTAAGGTAAGAAGTGGGTAGAGGAGGGATAGGTGAGAATGTTGAAAGGGGTGACAGTGATCAAGATATATTGTATTCAAAAACTAGTTTGCTAACTGGCACCTCCTTTGTATAACTACTTAAATAATAAAAATAACATACCCGAGACTTAATTATCCCTGGGAACATGAGGCTCTGAATACTTAGGCCAAGTGAACAATGAAAAAAAAACAATGAACAAAAAAATTAAAATTAAAAAAAATGCAACAGGGGCTAGGAAAGTAGCTCAGTGGTACAGTGCTTGCCTTGCATGCATGAGGCCCTGGGTTTGATTCCTCAGCATCACATAAACAGGAAAAGCCAGAAGTGGCACTGTGGCTCAAGTGGTAGCCTTGAGCTGAAGAGCTGAGGGACAGCGCTCAGGCTGAGTTCAAGACCCACTACCAGCAAAAAAAAAAAAAAAAACCCAACAGATTTAACTACATGGTATAAATAATTTGGAAAAATTCTCCAAGTCAGTGGACAAGAGGAACCATTATGGGTATTAGATGGTCTAAGACTCTGTTTTATATTTAATGTTTTCCAGATTTTATATCTTTATGCTACAGAAAACAGTATTCTCCTCTATAATCAGAAATGGTTTCTTAAAGGGCATTCAGTTTCCAAGATCATAATTTTCTTTCTTTTTTATTCAAAATATTTAGGAAAAGGACAACAGGAAAATTTAATTACTTTTTTTCTCCTAGTTGCAATTTTCTTATACATGCTTTCAAAGTCATTAGAAAATAAATTATTTCCTTTACTAGATATCATGTACAAATTTGCTGTATAATAAATGTTTCTTGAAATGAACACAAATTTTATACCAGTGTCATTATATAACCTTTAAGAGAGGAAAATTTAAAATTAAAGATTGGTAGCATAGGCTTACAGTTTTAACAAAAACCTGTGAAAGGCCATGATCAAATTAAAAATTTTGACTGGTTTCCTTTACTTCTCCTACTCCTATTATTACTATTTGGCTTACAAGTTGTACAGCTTGTAGTCAATTTCAAATCCTCTTAAAGAATCTACTTCATAAGTTAAATGGGTAAAAAGAACAAAGAAAATATTCTGCAACTTTAAAACAATTCCATAGTATAACATGGAGGCAGTTGAATATAACGAAAGGCAATACAGCAGTGAAACATGTAAAGGTAGCATTTAAATACTAAATAGGTTTGCTAAGTCTTGGCTTGTTTTAGGAATCACTGAGCTGTACTTCAAGTATCTCTCAACTTGTATTACACTGTTCCATCAGCTGTCCAGTAAGAATACAGCAGGAAAACATCTGAAGTATGAAACTAGTGATGATAATGCGTGTTTTAGAATATCAGGAATATGGTTACTAAAGGTAAAGTAAATCAAGAACAAGAAAAAGGGAGGTACATTTATTAAAAATAAAAATAGTACATAGTCTCTGATGAACAACCAGACAAAAAACCCATTCAGAATCCAAAGATATCCAATATACACTGTAAGAATGTACACACATTAAAAAAAAAATCGAAGACCCATGTTTTTAGAACTTTTAAAAGGAGAAAAAAATCTGGATTTCTCCTGATGGGGATTTGCCTAAATACACTATGCTAGACGAACATTCCCTTCCAAATGTTCCATATAATATGGTGCTGTACAATGTGTGCAGTTACTTTGATGAACACCTTGCTTCTGAATAAAATCAGTTTCTGTAAGGATGATCCAGAATATAAATCAGTGGTTCCATTTCATAAAAAATATTCACAAGCTGGAAGAGCGGTGACAACCAATTTCCAAAATCTTCAGCTTTCACAAAAGGTACAGACTAAACTACTAAATTTAGATGCTTTCACATTATTTTGCATGAGTATCAATTGCTGTAAAAAAATCATTGTAAATCTTAAGTTGGTCAAAACTAGTGTCTCTACAGATCAAAGTTCTTCACCCTTAGCATGGCTGATAAGACTTTTCTGCCTTTGTCACTAATAATCTTTTTCAAATCAAAGAGCTCTGAAAAAAATGCACTGTACAAGGAGGACAATACCACAAACATCATACTGAACTTCGGTCTTTAAGATACACACAGTTCCTGTGGGATATTGGACTGTGCCAGTTTATTATCTTCAGCCTTTTCTTGTCCAGGGACGTGACAAGTAGTCTTCCGCTTAAATAACCGAAGACTCAACCGCAGTAATTCATTGTCTACCACTGGAGCATTTGTATAAGCTTGCTTTACTGTACCCTATTTGGAGAAACAAAAATGAGCAAGAAAAGATGTATTATTAGTTGACAGTGGATAAAACAAGTGCACTGTCACTAAAATTATCAAAGCTATAAAACACTTCTAATGATAACTTGATGAAAATTCTATAATTGTCAGATACATGATAAATATCAGCTTATTTTGTGCTTTTACTGTGTTGACTGATACAATCACGTATTTTTTTTCTTCTTTAATCAGTCAATAAGTGTGTTACTTCAAGTAAGTTCAGTATACTGAGGTACTTTCTCATTCTCGTATTTGGTTATATATTTATATATTGCTATATATTTATACATACACTTTTATAAATTGCTAGATTTGATTTCTTACTACTTTTGAGGATTTTCATGTCCATCTTCATAAGAGATGATGATTTATAATGTTCTCGCATGATATGTTTGTAATGCCAGACTCATAAACTGAGTTGGAAACACTTCTGTTGTGAAGAACTGGTGTTATTTCTACTTTCAGTGTTTGGTAACTTTGCTAATGGAACAACTCTAGAACTGAAGGTTCCTCTTTCATAAAATTTCAAACTAAAAATCCAACTTTAAAAAGTAGATATAGCGCTAGGTGCTGGTGGCTCATGCCTGTAAGCCTAACTACTCAGGAGGCTAAGATCTGAGGATAGCAGCTCGAAGCCAGCCTGGGCAGGAAACTGTGAGACTCTTACCTCTAATTAACCACCAGGAAACTGGAAGCAGAGCTATGGTTTTAAGTGGTAGAGCACCAGGTTTCAGCAAAAGAGCTTAGGGACAGCACCCAGGCTTTGAGTTCAAGCCCTAGGACTGACCAAAAAAAAAAAAAAGATATAGAACCTTTTAGGGGCCTGGCACTGGTGGCTCATACCTGTAATCCTAGCTACTCAGGAGTCTGAGATCTGATGATTCCAGTTCAAAGCCAGCCCAGGCAGGAAAGTCCATAAGACTTGTCTCCAATAAACCACACAGAAAACAGGAAGTGGCGCTGTGGCTCAAGTGGTAGAGCACTAGCCTTGAGCTAAAGAACTGAGGGACAGTGACCAGGCCCAGAGTTCAACCCCATGACTGATCAAAAAAAAAAAAAAAAAACCTTTTAGGTTTTACATGATTACTTTTATACTTCTGATAGTCTGTGACTTTAAAGGGCTCTAAAGCTTTAACACATTCAACCCATTTCCTCTAAGTTATCGAATTATTATGTGTACAAATTTATTCATAGTATCCCTTTTTTTGATGTTGATGTTTTTTTCACTAGAAACTGACCTGTACCACTGAACCATATCATCTGCCCCCTTATACTTCTAAAATGTGTAGAATACACAGTAATACCTCTACTTTCATTCCCAATAATGATCATTGATGTTTTTCTTTTTTTTTGTCAATCGTGGCTAGGAGATTATCAATTTTATTCATTTCTTTGGAGAATCAACTTTAGATTTTACTAATGTGCTCTATTTTTAAATTTTTAATTTAATCCATTTCTACTATGCTATTGCTATAAAATCTATATACTGTTTTTAAATGATACTTAAAATAATTTATGATGGCTGTGTTCTTTTCGTATCCTCTACCTAAATTCTCTGAAATACATAGTAGTTTTTATATACTTAACATACACAAGTTAAATGCTTTTGTTTTTCTTAACATTTTTCACAAGGCTATCTAGCATATAAAATTCTTCTTTAGTTATTTCCTTTTCTACTCACTCACTCACTGTGTATCTCTCACCCTATGCAAACATGTAATACCATACCTGGTTTGTGCTGATATTTTTAACAGAGTAATCTGAAATTTGAAAATTCTTTTTATAGCATATTTATAATGTGCCATTAAAACTTCTAATAACGTGCTTCACACTGTGCTGTTTGTATCATTAATTTCTTTGATGTTGTATGTGTGTGTGCAGGTACACACACATGCACATGCATACATGTCTTATACTGAAGGGTTAGAAAGTTCTGAACATTGTAAGGGATGCTCTTGGTTATTACAATTTTTTTTTTTTGGTCTGGTCATGGGCCTGAACTCTGGGCCTGGGCGCTGTCCCTCAGCTCTTGAGCTCAAGGCTAGCACTCTACCACTTGAGCCACAGCACCACTTCCGGCTTTTTTCTTTTTGCTTATGTGGTGCTGAGGAATCGAACCCAGGGTCTCAGGCATGCAAGGCAAGCGCTCTACCACTGAGCCACCTTCCCAGCCCGGTTATTACAATTTTTGAGGAACATTATCATATGTCACAGGAGGAACCTACAAAGATTAAAAAGTACTTTTTATACAAAAGGGGCAGGATTCTGGTAAGATTATACACTTTCTTAACTGGCATTTCTTATCTGAACCGAACAGAAAATGGTGTAAGTGATATTTTCAATTTAATACTAAAACTGGTGATAACGTATTTCTAGCGTACAGAGAAGGTAACTGATTACACACATGCCTAGGGCATGGGGGCTCAATTCACTCAGAGAAAGGTGGAATTGAGGAATGCTGCAATGGATACACAGACAAAAGAATAAAGAGATATTAAGTGCATGCTCAAAGGAGAATGATCAAAACAATTCTGTCCAAAGTAATTCTGACAAAGCACTGAATTCAAATTCTAGTACTGCCCCAACAAAAGTTGATAAAAATTTTAAAGAAAAAAAGCTGTAGAAAAATCTTACTACTTAAAAAGTTACTAAGTTTATGTCTGTCTGTCTGCCTCCCTTCCTTCCTTTCCTCCCTCCCTTCCTTCCTTCCTTCCTTCCTTTCTTTCTCTCTCTCTCTCTTTCTTTCTTTTTTGTCAGTTGTGGGACTTGAACTCAGGACCTGGGCACTGCCTTTGAGCTTTTTTACTCATGGCTAGTGCTCTATCACTTTGAGCTATAACACCACTTCCAGTTTTCTGGTATTCAAGTGGAGATAAAGAGTCTCATACAACTTACCTGCCCAGGCTGGCTTCAAACTGTGATCCTCGGATCTCAGCCTCCTGAGTAGCTAGGATTATAAGTGTGAGCATGGGGCCAGTCATGGGGCCTGAACTCTGGGCCTGGGTGCTGTCCCTCAGCTCTTTAGCTCAAGGCTAGCACTCTACCACTTGAGCCACAGTGCCACTTCTGGCTTTTTCTGCTTATGTGGTGCTGAGGAACAGAACCCAGGGCCTCATGCATGCAAGGCAAGCACTCTTCCACTGAGCCACCTTCCCAGTCCCTTTTTCTAATTTTTTAAAACCAACTTTCTTTTGTCACACTATGCATGCTTGCCACATTCTAAAATTAAAATCTGTTTTCTAACTTTAACAGCCTAAGATGTTTTCAATTTCTTAAAAGATATTTTTCAAAGCTACACTAATTTATATTTCTCTTAGTTGTCAATGGCTATTCTCCAGTAGCTGCTTATGTATATTCCCTTTAATTAATTTACCTCTCCTCCACCTTGGTGCATGAACACCATTCCTATAACCATCCTCACCACTCTATCTGAAATTGTTTTTTCTTGGTCTTCAATGTAGATAAATTTCCAGTGTTTACTTATCTAAAAAAGCTTTTTCACAAATGTAAAAGCTTTCACAGAATGAATATTTAAAACTTTTTGCATGAAATTTTGAATAATTGTCATTCAAAATACCCATTCATCAATACTGAAGTGAAAAAAATGTATTATAAATTTTAATATAATTCTTTCTTTACATGTCCAAAAGACTAGAAACCAAATTCAAAAAAGTGGGTCAGACTATAACTTCTCTTTTTCAAGCAATCAAATGCAAAAAAAAGTGCCATTTGTGTCCTGCACTTTGCATTTTTCCTCAAGGAAGCAACAGTACCTTCTCATTCTTAACAAGCTGCTTTCGGATTGCAGAATCCCGCCTGAAGCACAGGGCTTTACAACAGGGTCCAAGATTGCTGAGAAGACTTGCTCTTTCTTCTTTCCGTAGTAATGCAGCCATATTGAGAGCCCCCAGTTCATGTTCAAAAAGATTCTCTGCATCTTTCAATACAAAAAGCATATTTTAAGTTTTCTTAAAATGGAAAGTGTTATCAACAACTCAAATGAATATTTCATGATTTTATCCTTTATTTAAGTTAGCAATATTGGTGAAAATTATTTTATATTTAAGGTGACATTCTCTGTGAAAGGCTGTCAACATATAGTTATGTTGCTAGCTTTAAATAAATATTCTGATAGCAACTTTAGTTTTAAGATATAAGAAAAGCAGACTTTGGAGATAGAATGTAGACATTGATTACTGAGAAGTTTCAGAAGAATTATTGAAATTAAATTCAGTATGTTCTTTACCATCTATTACTACAAGTTCTAAATTTTAGAACTTTATTATATAGAAAGACATGATGTCACCTGGCGCCAGTGGCTTACGCCTATAATCCTAGCTGCTCAGAAGGCTGAGATCTGTATCGTGATTCAAAGCCAGCTGGGCAGGAATGTCCAATTAACCACCAGATAACTGGAAGTGGTGCTGTGGCTCAAGTGGTAGAGTGCTTGCCTTGAGCTAAAGAGCTCAGGGATAGCACCCAGGCTCAGAGTTCAAGACCCACAACTACCACCACCACCAACAAAAAAGACATGATGTTATATATGTAAATATAATATAACGTAATAAAACTCAAGACAGTGCCCTCTACAAATTGGTTAGATAGAAAAGTGATTAAGTTGTTGGGCAATCTTTAAGTTAGAAAAAACATTTACAAGGTTGCAAAAAAATAGATGAACTGAGAAAAGATTTGATTAATTGAAGTAAACTGGGTTAGAAAATATATCAAGAAAGTAAAAATAACACAGTACCAGTCAATAATCCAAATAAATAACTACAAGTTATAGAGTAATACAGGCCACAAACACTGTCTCTATTCATACACTGAGATCAAACAGATTACTGTTAGAAATAAAACTAGTGAATAGCATCTATCTAAAAATAAACACTTTTGATTAAGAGGAAACAAGGCTACATTACATAATTCATTTGAATTTTCTGGGCTATAAAGCATAATTAATGAGAATAGGTACTTAACAAGAAACTAGCTTCATGCAATTCATCTAGTCACTAGGTATATAACAAGTGTAAATATAAACTGTAATTCCAAAGTAGTCCTCAAACTCTGAAGCCATTTGAATCATATGAGGAACTTTTAGGAATGCATCCCACCTACAGAATGAGAATCATCACGGTTGGACTGGGATACCTTAAAAAAGGCAGCTGCTCCTCAGGTGATTCACTACTGTTTGAAAGCACCATCATTAAGTATAGACATAACTGAAAATATACATATAGTACATAGAATTTACACTGAACATTGGCCCTTGAAAACTGTTATGAAAATATTCTTTTTATTGGCATCCTGGCTTTCTGTATTTATAGCAGCAGGACACAAAATACTACTTTTTTCAGGAAGCCTTTAAAATTCCTGAGAGCACATGACTAAATTTTCATTCTGTCCCCCCACTCCTGGTTGTGGGGCTTGAACTTTGGGTCTGGCACTGTCCCTAAGCTCGTCAGCTCAAGGTGAGCACACTACCACTTGAACCACAGCACCACTTCCAATTTTCTGGTGGTTAATTGAAGATAAGAGTTTCACAGCCAGGCGCTGGTGGCTCACGCCTGTAATCCTAGCTACTCAGGAGGCTGAGATCTGAGGATCGCGGTTCAAAGCCAGCCCGGGCAGGAGAGACCGTGAGACTCCTATCTCCAATAAACCACCAGAAAACCAGAAGTGGCACTGTAGCTCAAGTGGTAGAGCGCTCGTCTTGAGCTGAAGAGCTGAGGGACAGTGCCCAGGCCAAAAGTCAAGCCCCATGACCGACAAAAAAAAAGAGTATCACAGACTTTCCTGCCTAGGCTGGCTTTGAACTGTGATCCTCAGATCTTAGCCTCTTGATTAGCTAGTATTACAGGCATAAGCTACCAGTGCCTTGATAAATTTACATTCTTTTTATGGTTTTGAGCTTACCAGCAACAAATTACTCAAAAGACAGACTAATTACATACTTAAGATTAAGTAAAGCAGGGGCTGGGAAGGTGGCTCATTGGTAGTGTTTGCCTTGCATACATGAGGCCTGGGTTCAATTCTTCATTCCCACATACACAGAAAAAGCTGGAAGTAGTGCTATGGCTCAAGTGGTAGAGCGTTAGCCTTGAGCTAAAGAGCTGAGGGACAGTGCCCAGGCACAGAGTTCAGGCCCCACGACCAACAAAAATAAATAAATAAAATAAATAAGATTAAGTAAAACAGTGGATATACTATAATCAGGAAAGTTTAGTTCAAAAGAACATATCTGTAGTTCAATGAATAAAACCTAGAGAAAAGCAATTTAAATCCTACTATATATATGGTTTTATTTTAAGTTTAGTTGGCTTTTTTTATTTAAAATAAAATTACATACGGTATGAAGGTATACTGTCATTAGTATTGGGCCACCAGCATAGATCAATGAAATACAAACCAGTTATCAACAATGCACATTTACTGAATATCTACCATCTGTCAGGCACTGATGTAGGCAATGGCATAATTTCTATGAATAGATAATTAGACGTTGGATATGGAAATAAACAAAACAAAGTACTATTCTAGATGATTCATATTCAGCATCATTTATCAGTTCTTTAATACAGCCACCACAGCCTTAAATAGGAAAGGTTTGTTAAGCAACAATCAGATCCTTTTTTTTTACTTAGATTACCTCATGTCTTAAGACTTACGTCATCATTAAGCAAGTGTCAAATTTTATTTCATAATTAGCAAAATCACAGCAGATTGTAATTTGAAATGCCATTAGCAAAAGTCACAGAACCAAATAGCTTTAGAGATGGTTAACATCTTTAGGGTTTCATTCCCTCAATTTACAGATAAAACTGAGGTCCATGAGAATTACTTCCTTAGGTGTACTGATAAAACAAAAGTAGAAAGAATGGGGCAAGCACCTAAGTCTTTGGCCATTATTCGGGTTACTTAATGTTCACACACTTATTCTGTTTACATATTTCATATATATAGTTTATTGGACCCATTGAAGTAAGAATTTTGCTGCTTATGTTGACAGGTGAAAGGATATGGATTCATAAGTCATATATTTTTCGATTTTATATTAATAATTTTACATTAGTAAAAAATCTATTTTTGTTTCCATTCTGTAGAGTGGGATGGCTTTGAGTTCAGTGTTTTCCTAATTTAGCCTGGGATTATAGCATGTGCCACCATGCCTGAACAAACCTAATTTGCATTTAACTATAAACTTTTATACTTTCAGCGACATGACATAAAATTAATGTAGTCTTTACTTTTTACCTTCCTTTTCTTGTTTTTACCATGTACTTGGCCTTTCCTTGTTAATAAAAGTATTGGAGATGACAGCTAAGATAAACAACAAAAATCAAATGAAGTGAAGACAGTAAGATGAAAAGCCAATGTGATAAAGTATTTTCAGACTCAATAGTAGCAGTTAATATTTGCTCTGCTGTTCTAGTGTTCAAGTGAGTTATTGGTCATGCTCTTCCTTACAACACTTCAGGAAGTGGGAATTATAATAATCCCAACTACAGATGATCATATGAAGAGATCAGATAATAGGTAGTATGATATGCCTATTGGAACCCTGACCATTTGGCCCTATGGACCAACCTGAAGAATGTTATTAAAGCTCGACCTACACTTCTACATTTGGAAGGAATTCTCCACTTCCACATGAAAGGGCTACCAAGATAACTAATTTTCTTAAGTTCCGCTTTGTTTAGCAATGAGCAAACCATTGTGTATTTTAACATTTGGACCTGTGTGTTAAACAGAATCTTTCTATCCTTTTTTTTTTGTATTAGAGTGGATCCCAGAGTCCTGTGCATACAAAGCACATGCTTATTATGAAAAGCTATACCTGCACTCAGCTCCAAAAGTAACTGTAGGTGAGCACCAGTGGTTCATGCCTATAATCCTAGCTACTCAGGAGACTGAGATCTGATGATCATGGTTCAAAGCTAGCCTGGGCAGGAAAGTCCGTGAAACTCTTTATCTCCAATTAATCACAGAAAAATAAAGCTGACGTGGGGCCTTGGCTCAAGTGGTAGAGCACTAGCTTTGAGCAAAAGGATCCCAGGGACAGCACCCAGGTGCAGAATTCAAGCCCCAGGACTGGCAAAAAAAAAAAAAGTAATTGCAATATAAAGTCCATTTTATCATTTTTGCAACTTGTCTGTGCAATTAGAACTTTCTCAAAATACAGAACGTAAAATGGAATTACCTTTAGGTTTCTCTAGAACTCTCTGACATGTTTCTTTGACTTTAGTAAACAGCTCAGAACCTGCCAACTTTTTAGAAATCCCAACTCTCAGCAAAACAGCTCCAGGTGTGAATTTTAAGAGTGCAGCCCCAGGCTCTCGTGGTTCTTTTGGATGCTTTGGCATAAGACCAGACCAATCGACATCTATCACATCTAAGGGATCTGTCAAAAGTGAAATAGGATTATATTTTGCATCAAAAAATAGTAGTCTCATCTCTAGACAAATATAGTTATTCCTCCAGTTTCAGGGATTCTCCGTCCATGGATCTGACCAACCACAGATTAAAAATAAGTTTGTAGTGAACATGTGTAGTCTTTTTCCTCATCATTTTCCACTAAATAATATAGTTTGACAACTCTTTCCATAGAATTTATAGTGTAATGGGGATTACAAGTAAGTGAAGTATTCTGAAGGTTGTGCATACACTATATTCTGATAGTAAGTCACTTCATATTTATATATACTTTGCTATCTGTAAGAATCCTGGAGCCAATCTCCCATGATTTTATTACCCAGAATGACTTTGTGCTAATTAAAACCCTTTTATGGGATTTTAAAAGCTTTCCCATAAAAACTAATATTTAGAATCTAAAAACCCTTACAAATGAAAAAATCTTCCCACTAAAGGAAAACAGGTAAGCTAACCCATACCTATAAAATAACTCATTTAACTTACATGAAAGACTCTCAGAAGGTCTCCATTATTTCACAAAAATTAAATGTGATGTTTTGAAACTTGGTACCAGAATTCTACTTTAATCCTAACCTAAGGGTTAGGAGACTATCTGGTTTGCATATCTGCACACATATATATATAAACAAGTAACTCATTATGATTTTCCTTTAAGAATTTGATACCAGGAGCAAATAATCCATTGAGAATGAATACTTAAATATGTATTTCTATTCACAAATTCCTACTACCAGAAAAGGACAAAGAAAAAAAAATCACACATAACTTGTACATTAGAAGAAAACCTAAGAGAATTTTTTAAAAAATTAGTAATATTTTACATATCCAGACCAAGCAAAGATCCTCACTAAAAAGAAAATATGCCTGAACAATCAGACTAAGATAAATCAATAAAATGTCAAAGGGTGGTACTAGAAGTGACCAGAAGCAAATACAATTTCTGAATTTACAGAATTAGAGGAAATAGTGTTGAAATGAGATATAAGCTACCATAATTTCTGAATAGCTATTTAAAAAGTTGGCTTGTGGCACAAAAGCTCAGGACGGTGATCAGGCCCAAGGACAAGCCCTACAGAATCAGCTCAAAAAAAACAAAAAGCAAGCTAGCTTGTAGCAGCACAGTTGTGAAGCACTGCACCTACTATCTACATACATGTCAAACACTAGTAGGAAATCAGTATTTGGTCAGATTCCAGGTCATATATTATGCTATATCAACACAGACAGCATAAGAGGGAACAAAGGCTACAGGTATTCTGAATGTTCAACCACCATTACAAACCATTACCTGGCATCTTCTCCTCATCCTGCTGGTCTTCTCTCTTTTCTGCATCACCGGCCAGAATTTCATCTAGTTCATCATCACTGATTGGCTCATACCCTTCTCCAGCACCAGATCCTAATGAATGTGCATCATCTAACTTGGAATCTTCATCTCCTGCTAAACAGACATTAACTTCATGTCAAAGAAAGCATTACAATGGATGCCTACGTCAAACCAAAAGAGAGAAGCTGTGCACATTACAACAATGTAAAAATGATTATTTTCATCAGAAAATTACATTTAGTCAAATGTGATAATTCTAAGAAAAAAAACCCTCAAAACATATTTAATTTGCTAAATTTCTTTTTTAATATATTTGTTGATAACTTTAACATTCAGAAAAATCTAACTTCCAAGGCTTCAACAATTTCTTTACTGAAACATACAAATCTTGTAAATCTATTCTGAGTGTATTTTAAACTTAAATCTTAAGTTTATGAAGAACTTCCTATGAATAAGGTAAAATGTAAAAATGCTATTACTTTTCCCCCTACCTCCCAATTCCTCTTCTCCACTGGGATATTTTCTTTTAAATGATGAATTCAATTGTTAGAAAAATGTTATAATACACTTAAAAAGTACTTTCAGCTGGGTGCCAGTGGCTTACCTTTTAATCTTAGCTATTCAGGAGGCTGAGATCAGAGGATCCACATTCAAAGAATCAATGTTCAAAGCCAGCCCAAACAGGAAACTCCATGAGACTCTATCTTTAATTAACTACCAAAAAAGCCAAAAGTGGAGTTGTGGCTCAAGTGGCAGAGTGCTAGCCTTGAGCAAAAAGTTCAGGGAAAAGCCCAGCTCCAGCAGAAAATAAAGAGGATTTTTGGTTCTAATATTGTTTTGCCTCTTAATCAACTTTTCTTATTACCTAACTAAATTTTGTCAATCTAATGCCCAAACTATAGAATATGCCTAGTATTTCTAATTATGAGCTATCTATATTATGAAGTCTATAAACTTTTTGAAATTGTAATAGTATAAATCGGAGGATAAAACAATATATGGCTGTGTTATATTTGTCATCATTCTAATAATTTTCTCTTTCATTAAATTCTTGTAGTAGTATCTTTATACCCCTATAAATTAACTTCTAAGGTAATTAGTTTTAATATTATTGCCATACAAATATAATCCTAAACATGAATGGACATCATAGGATTTTAATGATTTTTAATTTATCCAACCTATTTTCCTATTCCATGTGTATAAAATACTTCAATGGTACAACAGGTGATTAATCTCTGTATCTCTAGGCCATACCATCTGTAGTCACAAATAACCAAGGATGCACTTAGTAAGAAACACTGACTCCAATAACAAGAGTATTATAATTAGTCTAATTACATTCCATTATATCCATTGTAACCATGGCTAGTGATTTTCTTTACATTGAGCTGAAAATGTAATGTGAGAGGCTGGGGTAGTAATGTCTTTGTTAAGTCAAATGGAAAAATCTATATAACAGATGGCATACCAGGTTATCTAGTCACATGACTAGGAGATATAAGGATCCACTTTCAAAATGGTGGACATTTATACTATAGGCCAAATACTATTATGTGGCAAATTAAAAAAAAAATCTTGGGAAGTGGCGCTGTAGCTCAACTGGTAGAGTGCTTGCCTTGAGCACCCAAGCCTAGAGTTAAAGCCCCACGACTGACTAAAAAAAAAAATCTTGGAGGTTCAAATTAGAGAGGTTATGTCCCAACAATGTTGTAAGTGCTGGTAGAAGAACTTCACAGTCACAGTGAGGGACTTCCCAGTTCCAGGAAGGTTTTCAGGGTACTCTTCCTATTAATCTTGGCTATAATTCACCAAGGAATAGGATGTGGGGGACACACATAATCACAGAACACATCTTCATTTATCAACCACTGATGGTACCCCTACTATGGAGCCTGGATGACTAAAAGATGAAAAGCTATGGTTCCTAAAAATGAGTAGAAAAATAATAGAAAATCCTAATACAGTATGGGGATGCTATGGGGAGTTGAAGGAGTGACTTTAGCAGAGAAGACTTCACAAGAGTAAGCAACACATGTACTGGGACCTAAAGTTTCAATAAGAAAGAGATAAAAATGAAAAGGAAGAAAAAAAATGAAAGGAACAAAGATGGCAAGAAAATGAAAAGGCCAGGTCAGTTGCACATAAACAGTATTTTTATTTGTCAGATGACAAATAATCCACTGTATTAAAAAGCAGACCCTTATATCTCTTGATAGATACTCCAATGGTGTGTGTATGTGTATATATGTCTATTTGACTTGATGAAAGGCAATTCTACCTCAGCTTCTTTCATATTACATTTTTATCTCAATTTGAGTACAAATTGCATGAACTCATGAGCCATGGTTCTAAAGGAAAAGAAACCTTGGGGGCATAACTGAACATAATTAATCATTGTAATAGTTCTCTGGTAACTAGAGTCAGTCTGGCCCAGTGGGAATAAAGGATGGAAAGCAGAGGCAATGGGGGAGCGGCTCCACAGAGCAGACTGGCCCTGACTGGCCTGAGGGCTGAAGTGGACCTCTCTGTGTTCTTTTTCAAAGAGTGGGGAGTATCAGCAGGATTTCAATCAATCTGCTATTAAATGGATTCAGGGATGGTATTATTCTGTGTTTGTTCTAATTGCCCTACAAAAGAGAAATCACTGAACAGAAGCTAATAATATTAGACTGCATTGAACTAAGAAGTTTTTACTTAAGATTTTACTTTTGAGACAGTGACACTAGTTTAGGCTGACCTCAAACTCAAGTTTCTCCTGGCTCAGCCTACCCACTGTCAGAATTACAGGTGCTGCCAGCATATCTATCTGACTTTATTTTTTAAAAAGACGTGAGAAAAAAGATGTGACGATTATTATTTAACACCCATGGTCTTTGCTACTAAGCAATCTTTTATTTCAATGGTAAGGCATTAAGAAAACTATTGCATTCTTCTATTTCTCGTTACTCTCTTACCTTTTATTTCATCAGTACTTTTCATATTTCATTAGAACTATCTGAACCAAATTTTGCACTGAAAGTACTGCTGAAGGAACACTTTTTTTTTTAATATCATAAGCCTCTTCCTTATGAATCTATGTCCTTTGTGAAAGAACACTGTCAATTTGCTATTAGTGGATAGCCTTTCAAAACAGGTATTTGCTCCTCATGAAACTGGACAAGGAGAGAGTTGTATAACAAGGTATGTACTCACCTTCCACACTCTCTGTTCGCTCAGCTTTAGTAGTATCATCAAATCCCTGTGCAGACCCCAGATCTTTATCCATTCTTTCTTTATCCAAGGCTACAGAGTCTCTGGAACCACCATCTAGGTCTCTTTCATGTTCACTCTCCAGTTTTGCTTCACTGCGTTTCACAGACTCTATTTGAGAATTCTCAGAAGTCCTATCTCTGTCTCGGTCCCTTTCCATAGAATCAGGAATTAATCTTTCTCTTTCCCTGTCCAAGTCTCTCCTTTTGTCCCGTTCTCTCTCCCGTTCCCGCAGTCTGTCCCGATCTCGGTTCCGTGACCAATCTTTATCAGCTTCTCGATCCCATTCTCTCTGCCGTGTATCTCTCCTGTCTCTCTCCCGTTCTCTATCATGCTCATATCGATCCCGTTCTTGAAGCCTGTCTCTGCTATCAAATGACCCAGATCTTGAATGGACTTGCCGATCTGACTCAGGAGAACTTCTTCTTGAACTATGGCTTCTTGAATCCTGACGATCTAAAATAAATATACCACACCCAAAGTTAACATATAATAAAATAGGAACAGAATGCTTTGTTTTTAGGGTTCTTTAGAAGTTACAATTTATCTTGTGTTTTACATATAGTTTCAACATTCTCTTCATATATTACCCTGCATATGTGCATATTCTACATTTCCTCTCCTTTCCTCCCCCCCTCCATTTCTCTACTTCTAAATATGTATAACTTTGAGAAAAATGTTATGGCTCTCAAAATGTTAAAGCAAGTTTTATAAGTCTTGTCCAGTTCTACTACAGGCCCAAAATATCTTAGTAAACATATAAATGTATTAGGCATTAGTAGAACTAACTAGTTAATTTTAAAAAATCTCTTCCTCATTTTCTCTTGTCAAGTTAGTATTGAATTCGGGAAGGTTAAAATGGCAGGCACAGATATAGGACATAAATTCATAACCCCTTTTAAACAAGACATGTCATTGTAAGTCTCATAAAACTTAAGGTAGTTTATAATCAATCTGGCATTTAGAATTATCATCTGGGTGAAATGTATAGCATAGGAAACACATAATTCAACTTATTACCTGAAGAAGTACTTCGACTGGGTTCTCCACGCTTCAACTGATCAATCCTAGATTTTCTCTCCCCCGTGACTTCCAGGCTCTTTGTTTTTTCTCTATCTCTTGAGCCACTATGCAGCACTCTCTTTCGACTCCCTTGGTCGTCCCCACTTCGATGGGCAGAATCATTTGATGGGGAGCGCAGACGGCCAGAGGTGTGACTCCGGTTACTCCGGTTGCTGCCCAGGCTGCTGCTCCTCTTTTGGTCTACCAGTTTGCGGTGTGGTGTGTCCTCTATAGTCACATGAGGGGCTTCTACTTTTTCCACACGTGATCTATGGCACTTTCTATGTGAGTCTTCACTGGCAAAAGTAGTATTGACGGTGGAGGGGGTGGCAGAGGTGGGCGTGGGGGTGGCAGAGGTGGCAGCAGTAACAGTGGTAGAGGTGAGCACCGCAGCTGCAGCAGTGGCAGTGGCCACAGGAGGTGGAGGAGGGAGAAGGGAAGACAGAGGGGAAGGGATACTAGCTGCAGTGGTAGTGGTGACTGCATGTTCTGATTCCATCACTTCTGTCCGGTCTGGCACATCCTCATCAGACCAGTCACTAAAGGCAGTATCCTCCTTCTTCAGAGGGTCCTCTAGCGGGCCATCCTTATCACTAGAAATTTCAACCAGGTCCTCTTTGGTTGTCATAGGGGGAGTCCGTGGACCTCTTTTCTTCTTACTTTGCTGGGTGGCTTCTTCATCCGAAATATCAGAATCACCTTTGGATCTTTTGCGTTTTTTCTCAATATTTTTCTTCTTCTGTCCTTTTTTAGGTGAGAAGACTTGACCATCTTCAGATGTTGTCTCAATACTGCCCCTCTCTATTCCAACATCATCCTCTTTCTTTTTCTTAATAGGTTTCTTCTGAAGTTTTGCTTTTTTCTTACTTTCATCATGGGCTCGATCAGATAGCTCACGATCTTCAGACTGGTGGTGGCCTACCAGGTCCTGGGCACGTGCTCTTGAGTTCTCCATGACTTCCGTCTGTTCTCTCTGTCTATCTACAGAAGAAATTTTCTCTTTCAATTCTTGCTCATCATAGCGCCTTGAACTCTCCTTTCTTTCTGGCTTACGGTCCTCTTCTTTCCATCTACCCTGCCTATCTTCTGTGAGGTGTGATGGGCTGAGAGAACGAGATTCTTGAGGTCGTACAACCTGGCTCAAGAGTCTGTGCTTTTCATCTATACCGAAAAATAAAAAGTAACCATATCTTTACCAAATTAGCAACAGAACACATAACATTGAAATGCAATAGTCTCTCCCTTTTTAATTATTTCAGTAAAAATAAAAATATAGCTTTAACTACAAATAATGGGAAAAGACAATGCATTGTAATAAAAATGACTTTTTTTGTGTGTTGAGCATTGGGGCTTGTTACAAGGCCTTATACTTTTGCTTGTTATTTTTTTTTTTTTCACTCAAGACTGGAACTCTACCATTTGAACCACAGCTCCACCTCTTGTTTTTGTTGGTTAACTGGGGATAAGAATTTCTTGGGCCTGTCTGTTCAGGCTAGGCTAGCTTCAATCACTAATTCTCAGATCTCAGCCCCATGAGTAGCTAGGATTACAGGTATGTACCATCAGTACCTAGCTTAAAATGCATTTGTAATGTATATTTTAGCCATATAGAAAATGTATGGCAACAGTATAGCAAGGAAACTATTAAAAATCGTAAATTACCAGTTGCATAGTCTCACAGTTACTAAACAGTGTAACTATAGACACAGAAGAGGGACTGTGCTTACTTTTGTCATCTCCACTGTTGTAGGTGTCGCTGTCAGGAGAATGTTCACGCCTGCGCTTAGGTGACTGCCGAGGGCTGGCACTTCCTTCATTTCTATAGCGCTTCCTAAATTGGGCAAGTAAATGCAATTTACAAAATGTTGATGGTTGTTTTTCACTAGCATTTCTTTATAGTAACTGTACTGTCAGCTGTATCACACAAAAGACATGCAGTGTCCTTTATAAAAATTTGCTAGGAATGTGGATTTTAAAATACAAGGTAACATGTATTTCATTATACGTGCATAGTTATTCAAGTTGAAATTGCCAGATTTAAATACTGCAAGGAGAAAACAAGTAGCAGAAAAATCAATATATTAATGTGCCTTCTGATATAAACATTCTTCAGTTTTACAATCTTATGATAAACAAATGTCTTAGGCTGGGAAAGAGAAAATATGGCATTATTTTTGGAATCCAACAGTTGTGAGTTCTACTTACAGCCACATTACTTATTATACAACTTTTAAATAAGTTCCTTAAAGTCACAGAACTTTAGCTTTCACCTCTAAAACTGGAGAAGATGAAAGTCATTCTGATAAAACTGCAGTATGGAATACATTAATTCCGTCATATACCCAGTGCCTGGAAGGTTGTAGATAGTTTTCCTTCCCCCTCCTAGAACCAAGTTACTTGCTGAGTGAAAAATTAATAAAATGATTCATATGTTGACTGAATTTCTTGTTCTTTAGATGAACTGTAAATGAAGAATGCTTTATATCTTTTGGGTACTTATATTTATTACTCTAGTATTTTCTTGTATTTTCCTTCAATCTTGACCACTATTTTAAGTATTTATAAATACCATGTCAAAAGCTGTGAAATATGCTATGGTACACATCTCCATCTGCAGATGAGTAACCATGTAGAAAAGTTGGCCCAGGAGTAATATGACTACTCACAGGTGCACAGCTCTTCCCATTGTAAGGTGGCCTATTTCTTCAATGGTCTAATTTATGCTGGCTTAGTGACTCCCCTTATATGAGAGAATTTAATGAATGTGACACTATACAAATCTGGAGAGAAATGAAAGGCCTTGCTGCTTCTGCTTTTGCTCTCAAGATATGTTCTACTACTACATGCAAAAGCAGACTTTGGGGGGCTGGGAAGGTGGCTCAGTGGTAGAGCGCTTGCCTTGCATGCATGAGGCCCTGGGTTCGATTCCTCAGCACCATATAAGAAAAAAGCTGGAAGTGGCACTGTGGCTCAAGTGGTAGAGCACTATCCTTGAGCTGAAGAGCTGAGGGACAGTGCCCAGGCCCAGAGTTCAGGCCCCACGACCAGACCAAAAAAAAAAGCAGACTTTGGGCCACAACAGGACAAGGTCATGTGGTGGAGAAATAAAGCATTAAAATTACTAGACATGTAAGAAAGCCCACTTTGAGTCATCTAAGCCTACCTGAAATGTCAGGTTGGTTATTTTTAACTAACTTTTGGGGTAGTTTGTAAACACAGCAAGAAATAAATGATACACTAGAATATGTCAGTTTAAATAAAATCTTAAAACATAAAAAATTAAAATTCTTCAAAGGAAATATCTAAAGAAACAAAACTACAATAAAACAAATACTGTGACAGTTCAGCAAATCTTCTACACAGCGGTGGTTTGAAAAACAGTGGTTTTCTGGATAACTCAAAGCACTGAGACAACAATCCAATTAATGTAAACATCACACTATTAATCTAATTTAAATTGCTTTTTGTTACAGTTGTCTGATTCCTAAGTTTCTAGGCTCAATTCTTGAGTCTGCTAGCCAGAAAAACTTTCACTATTACAAGCAGAAATTAGAAACATAAAGAAAACAACTCATTGAACTAGATAAAACATGTGATATAACGATTTCAGAATTTTTTTTTAAAAGTACAGATTTCAAGTGGGCAGAGGAAGGACATGTTTGCCTACATGAATTAAGTGTCTATGAAGTTTATACTAAAAAATAAAGCTTTTCCTAAAACGTGGAGTAAGGAAAGCAGGAAATAAGACAGAGGTTACAGAGCGTGGAGTAAGGAAAGCAGGAAATAAGACAGAGGTTACAGAGCGTCCAATGCATAATGGAAGAAGGCTCCACTTGTGTGTTACATTGTTTGTTCCTAACCATAATCCATAACAGTAGTGAAAAACCTGGCTTAGGAAAGCATAGCAAAGAGGACTGCTAGGCTGACAGGTAGAACCTTGGATAGTCCATTTCACCATTTGGAGAAACCCTTTCTAAGACTGGAACTAATACAAGGGAAATAGGAGACCGATAGCTTTCCTAATTCTTTCTTTCAAAATCAAGATATAATCACATCAGAACAAACAAAAGCTAATCTAACTCATATAGTTCAGCAAAGCAGTCATTTTGGCTTAAGAAAGAGAGAAATTCTATCAGACGTATTACATAATAACTTACCTTTGGCCCTAATAACCTACTGTACCTCCACAGAGGTAACTTCTACACTCTTACTTTCTTCAATCTATGTTTTGATTTTAAGGATTCTCTCAGTTTCTAAAACACTGAGTGCTTGCTGTGGTAACACCATATATAAAGGGGAAACATGGGAACCACAGAGCAGTAACACTTAATGACTAGTCAATATCAACTAGTTTAAAGGGGATGTGATGGCACACACACAAATTCACTACCATTTTACATTTGATTACTGTGGGAAAAAAAAGTCTGCAACAGTCAAGAAAGCTCATCTGTCATAGAAAATATCTAGTAAGCTGGGTGCGGTGGCTTATGTCTGTGATCCCAGCTACTTGGAAAATGGGGGAAGAAGGATCCCAAGTTGGAGGCTAGCTCACATAGTGTCTCAGAAACAAATTTTAGCAGGGCACCAGTGGCTCTTGCCTGTAATCCTAGCCACTCAGGAGGCTGAGATCTGAGGATCACGGTTCAAAGCCAGCCCGGGCAGTAAAGTCTGTGAAACTCTTATCTTCAATAAACTACCAGAAAAAGAACTGGAAGTGGCGCTGCGCTGTGGCTCAAGTGGTAGAGCGCTAGCTAGCCTTGAGCTGACGAGCTGCAGGCCCAGAATTCAAGCCCCATGACCAACACCGTACCCCCCACCCCAAAAAAGGGATTAGGGACAAACCTCACATGGTAGAGTGTATGCCTAGCATGCAGAATGACCAAGGTTTAATTACCACCTTTTTTCTTTGTGTATTACCTAGACTTATTTTTGTTATGGCAACAGAAAATAACTTGATTATTTGTAGCTCCTGGATTCAGCAACAAAATTTAAAAATTATTTTTTCTAGGCAATGAAAAACCCTTTATACATGCAGTGCTTTTGAATGCTTACTCAAATATAACTTTTAAAAAATGACTGGGAATCATTCTTACTTTGATTTTCTCTCATCATGTCCATCTCTGGGATTCCTATCTTCTCGGATATCTTCTCGCTTATCCCTGCGGTCATCCCGTCCCTTGTCTTTGTCTTCCCACTCCCTTTGACGTTCTCGTTCCTTATCCCTTTCTCTCGCTCTTTCTCGTTCCCGCTCTCGTTCTCTCTCTCTCTCCCGTTCTCGCTCTCTCTCCCTCTCCCTTTCTTCTCTCTCTCGCTCCCTTTCTTTTTCCCTATCTCGTTCCCTCTCTCTTTCTCTCTCTCGATCATGGTCACGATCCCTCTCTCGTTCACGGTCTCGCTCTTTTTCCCTTTCTCTTTCTCTCTCCCGTTCTCTGGCCCGCTCCCTTTCTAGCTCTCTTTCCTTTTCTCTTTCCCGATCCCGTTCACGTTCCCTCTCTCTCTCCCGCTCTCTGTCCCGCTCTCTCTCCCTATCTCTGTCCCTAGCCCTGTCGTCTCTTCTATCGTCCACTCTGTCTACTCTTCGTTCCTCTCTTCTTTCATCACGCTCAAGCTCGTCATTTCTCCCCTGATGGCGTATTGGTGAGCTTGGTCTTTGATCTATAATGAAAATCAAGTTTTGTCAGTGATTAATTTGGCAGATAACCTACAGGTAAGACAGCATGGCAAATCTTAAAAATTTATCTGAATACAGGGTCACATTGGCAACAAATTATAAATCAACTTCTATATTTAATTTTAATGTAATAATCAAGTAATAATCACCCCTAGACCTTTAAAAAATGCTTGCTTAAAGTCAATTTCCTTTTGCCCTCTTAAGTATCATGTGTTCTGCTCCCCATCAACCCCCTTCCCCCCTCCCACTGATCCACCTTTGATCTTTCTCTGCATGCTCCCTACCCTACTCCAGCCCACTGCTCCAACCCCACTTTCTGCCATCTCTACCCTTCACCTCTGATCTTCTCTGTCCCCCCAGCAGGACCTGAGAACACTGGTGGCAAAGGATAGGGGCAGCAGGAGGTGTAGAACATAGGAGCTGAAGGAAAAAAAAAATTTCCCTCGTAAGTCACACCTCTAATTTCAGGCCAAATCATATACACATTAAAGTGCAGTGATTATATGTGAAAAATATGGAACAAAACATATGTCAAAAGTGTGGCTGCAATGATCAGTTTCTTATCATACATTAGAATTAAGGGCACTGTTGTCTAACAACTGTAGAACAGTCAAATGTAAAAAGTATCTGTATTAGTACTAAATTTATAATGAATAACTATTAATAACAGCAACTTTTTTTTCAGTCAATCTAAGAATCACACCAACACAGAGAAAAAGACCAGATGCCTGAATGTGTAAGAAATCAAGCTAAGATAAAGAAAAAAGTGTGTAAAATCCACAAACTTTTCTAAGAGGCAGCCATTTTTGATAGCTCTATACTACTATGCTGCTTATATTTTCACTCTATAATGTACATTGGTTAATTGATAAAGAAATTGTATTTTAGTTTGTTAAGTGGAATACCTAACATCCATTTATTTTTAGGAAGAATAATTTTAGAATATTTCTAGGGAAGTTTATAATAAAGTAACGAAGTTCCCTTCCTTATCACAGATGAAAGATATACTCAATATTTACTATGTAGAGGTTTTATTTCCAGACAGAAAAGTTTGAGAATTTAAAATCTAACCAATCTTTTCCTGTCCTTAGTTCTTAAAAGCACAGAAATTATGGTCCAGAACTCACTATGGAAATTATGCCTAAATGTTAGTTTTTCTTAAAAACTTTTACTTTTGCTGAAACCAACTTAATTTAAAAATGGTTCTACAGTAAATGGAATCCCAGAATGCTATATATATATATATCCATGCTCTAGACAGTCTGAATTCCTAGTTGGTGATCATAACCAAATACCCTGAAACAAAATCAATACTCTATCTCATAGCAATTCACACTAAAACTTCTGAATATAAGAATACCAGACAATAAAATACTGTCACATATAAAACCTTAATTTTCTCAACCAAGAAGACAATGACTTTTATTTCCCAAGGAAAATAGAATATGAGCACGCCACACTAACACCTCCAAACTATCTTCCATACTATCATTCCCCTGGAATGTGTTCTTCAAAGATGTGCCTCTATTCAAATGCTTTATTATCTTGATCAACAACATACCCACTCATGAAAGCTGACAAGTTCCTAATGAGCCTCTCATCAGACTTTTCCTTGGCTTCTTTTCTTCATACCAATTATGGCACATCACCACTACAACCTCATAACACAATACATACTACTCTAAATAAAGCACACAGTTCTTTTAGTCCTACATGTCTGCTTATGTTGTACCTTTACCTGCAAAATGCTTCCTCCATTGTTCCTTCTAGCAAGCATGTATCTTTCAAACCTAAAGAAGTTAAGTCTTTTAGTTAAAGCAGCTTTCTTGAACTTCCTCAGAATTATGTTTGCTTCTCTGTCTTCTCATACAACTTTATATAGCAACTGCTATACTTCAACTGTCTATTCTGTGGCTAGATTATGAAGTCAGATTTAAATATTTGGTCACGTCTCTAACCTCAACATGTCAGTCTCTCTACTGCATGCCATCCTCCTAGACACAGCAGTCTTCTTTCATATCCTGAGTCATAAAAAGCTATTTCCTATCTCAAGAAATGTGTACCTATTCTTTCCTGCCCATGAAATCACTTTTATCCTTAAAATGCTAGTTTCCTCAGTAAAGCTAGTTTCTTTCTCCCATTTGCACCTAAATAACGTTTCCTCAAATTTTTTAACACTCTAAAACAGATTCTCTTATTTCTTTTTCTTTTTTATTCTTTTAGTTTCAGTCCATATTGGTTTCTTTGACAGTCTCAATGAGTCCTTTAGGGAGTGAGAAGGAGAATCTTCACCACTGAGTTACACAAAGACAAGAACTATTAAGTATCTAACAAAATGCTGATGTGGGCACTCAACGAATACTTGATTACCTCAAAATATATTTCTACTTTAGTCATACAACTGATGTTTATTAAAATATACAGATAACTGGTCTGGTATTCAAAAGACCTGAGTTTAGATTCCAGTTCTGGAACTTCTCTGTAGTATTAAAATGTCTCTTAGTAAAACCTCCAAGATTGGGAAATATCGATCTAACTTTAGAAATACTGTAAAGTTTCTAGGACTATTGTAAAGACTAAGTAAAACAATGTATGTAACAATATTATCAGCATTCTTGTCACCCAGTAGAAGTGTGTGGTTGAACTAAACACAAGATTGAGATCAATCCTATTGCTGAGTTCAGGCCCAAGATGAGGAAACCTGAGCTAGGATATGAAAATTTTAAAAAAGTATCAGGACACAGTATAAAAGAGAAGTTGTTAAAATGCAAGGGAAGAAACAATTTCAGAAATATGGAACATAAAAACTCTAGTCCTGCCTATAACTGAAAAACTCCTAATATACCTTAGGCTTACCTTTTACAAACTCATTCCAACCAAGCCGTCTGTTTCTGGGCTTGTCTATTCTCTCAAAAGTAGATAGTGTCTAAAAGAATTTGTTCCTTTCTTATTACTATTTATTTCAAGAAATAACATTACTTCTTTGATTCACCCCATTAACATACCAATATTCATCAACTGAAAAAATATTTCAAACTCAGCACTATAATAAATCTTGTGTTAAGAAATCAGCCAAACACAATGAGACCTTCCTAAGATTTTTAAAGCCCCAAATACAGACAATAAAAGCTTGCTATATAAAGTACATATAACCCTTAAATGTTTTCTTGTAATCTTGCTTCAAAATTCCTTTAAGACCACAGGCACTGCTGATGGCACTGTAATTCTAGCTATTCAGAAGGCTAAGATCTGAGGATTGCTGTTCAAAGCTACCCCAGGCAGGAAAGACTGTTAGATTCATCTCCAATTAATCCCCTAAAAAAAACAGGAGTGGAGCTGTGGCTCAAAATGGTAGAGTGCTAGTCTTGAGCAAAGATGCTCAGGGACAGCACCCAGGCCCTGAGTTCAAGCCCCATGACCAACCAAAAAAAAAAATTAAGAAATCATATAACAGATTAACTAAGTATCTTTAGCTTAAGACATATGAGTACAAAATAAGCTAAAGCAAATACTATATATTCTCAGAACAAAATAACACAACATTACACTCAACAATCCCCAGACCTATTACCATTTTCCTCTGGCTCCTTTCTGGCAGTCTTTAGAAAATTCTTGATTTTAAACTATTAAACTACTCACAGCTTTTTAAGGAGTTTTGACCTATTTGGTTACAATGGGAGAACAGTAGGGCATCCCAGTTTTGAACTCTGCTGCTTTATCTATTGGTAGCTAACTATTTTACATAATCACTCCTACACCACATGGACTAAGACTATATGAATAAACACAATAGACACAATAGTTTTAAATATCTTAAATGATATTTCGCATTACAAAGTATATTGGATATCTGTTTAAAAAAAACAATTCACTTGGCTGAAGTTCATAAAATTCTGTTGACAAACCTCTTTCTCTGTTGTCCCGACGGTCTCTCTCTCCATGTCTTCTCTCAAAGGAAGAATCTCTGTTGTCTCTTTCTGGGTATCTGTCTCTTTCAGGATAGCTACTTCGGGTTTCCCAGCTGTCATGATAGTTGCTACTACTACTGTGACTATCAATTTGAGAACCTCTTGTGCCTCGACTTCCTAAACAAAGGATATTCACACAAACATTTAACAAATATAATACTTTCTTCAACAAGTTTCACTAGTCATACTCTTTCCTCCCAAAACAGCACTTTATTTTTTTATTCCCAAATGTGGTAATCACTGCTAAAAAGAATATTAAGTATTAGATCAGAATATGCAAGTTTGTCTAACAAGTTTTCCTAACTATAAGGTCAAAGCCTGGGAGTATGACTCAAGTGGTAGTACCTTCTTAGCAAACATGAGGCTCAGAGTTCAAGCCCTAAAACTATGAAGAAAATTAAAAAGTCACATAATGGCAACATAAAGCAATACCTAACCCTCAAAACAATGAAACAAAATGTTTATTCACAGAAGTAAAAAATGAAAAATATGGATATTATCTAGGGCTTTAATTACAGTTTATAGTGAACTATTTCATTATAAAACCAAGGTAAGTCACATATTCATGCCTATAATCCTAGCTAATGAGGAGGCTGAGATTTGAGGATCTCAATTTGTAGCCATCCTGAGCAGGAAAATCTGGGAGACTCTTGTCTCCAATTAACTACCAAAAAAGCAGGAAGTAGAGGTGTAGCTCTAGTGGTAGAGTAACAGCCTTGAGCAAAAAATGCGAGAGGACAATGACCAGACAAAGTTCTAGCCCTAGTACTGGCACCAAAACAAAACAAAGCAAAAAAAAGAAGAGAGTGAGAGAGAGAGAGAGAGAGAGAGCATGCACATGCAAGGTAAGCTGAGCACTCAGGAAGCAAACATGTGGAAGATTATAGTTCAAAGCCAGCAAAGGCCAAAAAATCTGAAAGACTGCATCTCCAAAATAACCAGTAAAATGTAGGGCTGGAGACATGGCTCAAGTAGAACACCAGCCCAGCAAGTCCCTGAGTTCAAAGTTGACAGAGGAGGATGGGGTGGGGGAGAAGAGATAATGAAGGGAGGGTAGTAACAAAGGTAATTTGGCAACATGAAGTGCTACCTGAAATTTTTTTATGAAAAGATGTAGGAAAAGGATGTTCATAATAACTTTATATGTAACAGACTCAAATTTAAAATCTTATGTCTTTCAGTGGTAAACAGTCAAATCATGGCAGAATATACCATGAATCGTGCCATGAGATAGTATTCAGCAGTAACAAGGAACATACTACTGAGATACATGCAACTTGGATGAATCCAAGGAAGATTATGTTGATTAAGAAAAAGCCAATGACAATAGCATTATTCTGTTTATGAAATACTTATGCAGGACCATCTTAGAGGTTATTAGGAGTCACAGACAATAAGGAGGGGGTAAGTGTAGCTATAAAGTAGTAACACAAGGAAATTTTGTTACAGTTCAATGTCTTGATTGTGGAGAAGGTAATACAAGACTATACATGCAATAAAGATGCACAGTTACACACACAAAAAGTGAATATGAATAAGCCATATGTGTTTCTTGGTTTTGTTTCTATACCATAGTTATGTAACATGTTAACATCAGAAAAACCCCATACATCATGCTGTAATTTCCTATGTAATTAATTTCCTCTCTACTTAAGAGAATTTGAACTTTTAATGGGGATGATAGAAATAGAGAAAGGGTATGAGTATGGGGCTGCTAAAATCAAAAACAAAAACTCTGCAAGGCTCTGCCTCACTCTTACGGACTGTACCAAATCAATTCTGATGAAGAGGCTAAGTTCATTACAAATTTAAAAATTCACAAATAACCAACTCAAAGTAATAATTAGAGAGCACTTCCTCAAGAAACACACACTCACACATACCACACTTTCCATATAAAAGGCTTTGAAACCTAAAATTGAAGATATTCCTGAATAAAGTACGTAAATACCTACAAGGAATGTCTTAGATATTAAAGCATTTAAGACTATTAAAGTGCTACAGGTAAGGTGCTAGTAGCTCACACTTCTAGAATGATCATAATAGAAAGGGGGCTATTTACTATGCATCTTTGTGTTTTTTTGAAACTCTTAACCATGGTGGATGTAAAATTTTTTTGACTAATAAATACCATTTATAATGGCAACAAAAAAGACAGTAGCCAGGAATAAAAAAATGAGAAAAACCTTAATAGAAAATGTATAAATTGATAAACTATTATAGGTAAAAATCCAACAGTTTTTTCATAAAATTAAAAACTAATATTTTGAATTTGTATGTAAAAAGGTCAGGAAGTCAGGCATGGTGGTAATTTTACCATTCAGGATGATTGGGAGGTAAAGGCCACCTGGACTGCAAGACCCTGTCTCAAAAATAAATATATAAATAATTTTTAAAAATCATTTTACAGAACTTCAGGAACCATCAACACTTAAATGATTTTTCTGTAATATTGACCAGGGATAGCCCAATAGGCTAATGGAAAAAGTTCTGTAGCTCTGTAGCAGTGTTTGGAGGTAGGGTAAATAAAGGGCTATTTACCCTAAATCAATACAGTAAGCTATATATTAGCCTCAGTCGTTTAGACAGTCATAAATGCAAAGTCATTTGGGTGATGGCAAATTCCTTTTTCCCCCTGAGAAGAAAAAATGGAAAATCACAAATTCAGATCATACATTCAACTGACTGAAAATCATAAAATAATAACAATGAATGTAAAAAATAATGCATTTAGAAAAGCAATCTTAAATTTAGTACTTGCTATAGGAATATAGAAGATACAGTTGACTAACAAGAGAAAAGCCTTACCCTTTTCAGGTATCTCTGGACCTCTCCCCCTACTTCTACCCATGCGGTCATTCCTAATTTCACTCCGAGACTCATTTCTGGAGTCATTCCTTATTTCAGTACGAGAACTTTCTTCTCTTAAGTGATTTCTGCCATAACTCCGGGATTCATCCTGGTATGTGTCTTCCTTCCGATGAGTATCTCGACCTTCACGGTCCCTATAGTCATGAGAGTCCCGGGTAGACCTTGAATCTCTGGGGTCTCGGCTTTCCTTGGTTTCTCTACTATAGTCCCTCATCTCCCTAGAGTCTCGGATGTCTCTGGAGTCTCTTAGTTCCCTGCGGTCTCTAGTATCTCTCCGATCCCGGCCATCTCGAGGCTCTCTGTCTTCTCTGTGATCTCTAGAAGAGCTCTGGTCCTGTTCATACTCTCGCTCTTCTCTTGTATCCTTTTCTCTGTCCCTTTTGCTTCTAGTCTCTGTAACACAATTGGAAATAAACTGTAATTCCTTTTACAGAGTTTCACAAAACTAGATCTAGCTTATTTAATATAGTGCTTTGAAAAATCTTACAATATTTATATTATTTTTACAGCAAAAGCAAAAACATGGACAAATACTAAATTAAACCATGTTTTTATTAAAATTCAAGAGGCAATTTTATATTTGATACCTGATAACTATATTTTTAATTGGATAAAACTTTGAACAGCAACTTCCCCTGCTTAGAGACCTTAAACTCTAACAAATAAAAATGGAACATATCTTGTATAGCTTTTTAGTAACAATTTCTAATTCTGAGGCACACAGTTAATCACTTCTACAAGTACTAAGCTACATTACAACATATATGTTCACCTCAAATGTATTTAAGCACTAGAGAGTAGCTGTCTGGCAAAAAAAAAAAAAAAAGTATTTAATTCTGTTATTCTATCTTTCTGAGCTGCTTAACTTACTGATAAGTGCAACCATTATTGAAGTTTTCCCTATAGCATTTCCTAACGTATCATAGAAAAAATAAATCCTTCATTTTTTTTAACAAACGTACCTCACTGATTACATAATACAATCTTGTCATATTATATATGAAGAAATAGAGACCCAAGACTGAATGGTTATTCAACTCTATCTCAATGGAATTTTCAGACTAAGAATCCTTAGTTAGATATGCCTAGGGAAGGCATAGCTTATTAAAAATCTAATATGTAGCCAAAAAATGAATGAGAACTCTTAAGAATAAAGCTACCCTTTTATTCAGGTTCGTGTGTGTGTACATGTGCATGTGTGTCTGTGTCTGTGTGTCTGTGTTGGTCCTGGATGATGTCCCTAAGATTTTGTTTTTTTGCTCAAGGCTAGCACTCTATCACTTAAGTAACAGCTCTACTTCTGGCTTTTTGTTAGTTAACTGGAGATAATAGTCTCACAAAGTTTCCTGCCTCGCTAACTTTGAATTCAGTCCTGAAATACTAGAATTACTGATCCCACCAGCATCCAGTAGTTAGTCAGGATCTTATGCAAGTTGCTTTCATATCCTGGAATAGTCATATTCTGAGGCTATTTTAGCATATGTAGCAGCTGTATGCCTTAAACTTTTAAATGTATCTCCTTTTGTCTTTTCCCTGGTGGCTGGAATACATGGAATTTTTCAAGGACCTAAACACCTTGAATTTACAGGCCCTAGGACCTCATATCAATACCCTAACTCAATGCCAGTTGCTTTCCTTATAAACCCAGGTGTCAAATGCTGCTAAGGACAGAAACAAGAGGCAAGGGTCCAATATAGCTTCAGACCTCTGAGTGCACAATTATGTTTCTGCTCTTCTTTCCCAAGTCCCCATTATTTTCACAAAAACATCTAATAAGTACATTCTTGTCTTTACCTACTCAACTCATTCTTCTACTGAAATCATTCTTATTTCAGAAGATGACATTTAAATAGGGGCACAATCATCTGCTTAAATCTATTCAATTTCTTTCATGGAAAGGTAAAGAAACATCCAATCTACTAAAGATTTCTGCTATACTGTAGTCCTTCTTTCCACAAAAAAGTATTCCTATGAGATCTGATTATATATTACTTTCATTTCATTAGTTCAATAGCAATACAAAATCTTCACTAGTAATTAAATATATACCTTATTCTTGGTCAAATATAGTTGTTAAATATCTTATTAAAATTAATAGCTAGAGGGGCTGGGAGGTGGCTCAGTGGAAGAGTGCTTGCCTTGCATGCATGAGGCCCTGGGTTCGATTCCTCAGCACCACATAAGCAAAAAGAAAAAAGCCAGAAGTGGCGCTGTGGCTCAAATGGTAGAGCGCTAGCCTTGAGCTGAAGAGCTGAGGGACAGCACCCAGGCCCAGAGTTCAGGCCCCATGACAGGACCCTCCCCCCAAAAAAATAAATAAATAAAATAAAATTAATAACTAGAGTTTTCCTTCTTACTAATGTTCCATAAATATTGTGTTTAAATTTTTATCATGTATTCTATATGTAAGTTCTATATACAGTTAATATTGTTATGGTTCCAGAATCATGTACACAAAAACTGTAAAATAGGTGTATTCTCTGGACCCAATCTACACATCCACCATTTTGTGTGTTGTATGTGTATGTATGTGGGTATGGGGTTTGAACACAGGGCATCATTCTCTCACTTGGCTCCTGATTCCTTCTACTACCCTCATGGCTAGTGATCCATTACTTGAGTCAGTTCCAGCTTTTTACTGGTTAACTGGAGATTAAGTTTCATGGATTCGTCTGCTTAGGCTGCCTTCAAACCAAGATTCTTAGATCTTAGCCTCCTGAGTATCAGGAATTATATAGGTTAGAGTCACCAGTGTTGGAGTTGTTTTGTTTTGAGTACTGCAGACAGAACCCAGGGTCTCATACATTCTAGGAGAGTACGCTACCTCCAGACCTACTTCACTGTTCTTTAAAAGACACAAAGTAATCAAAATAGAAGCTCTAACAAGATGGCCAAATGTACTCAGTAGAGTATCTTAAAAGGAGGCAGGAACTAACATACCTGTATTTGCTCATTTATATGTACTTAATACTGTGCTTTTCATTCCTGCGTCTTTAATCATTTCTAACTTTCCTAGTTTGTGTGATACAGAGGCTAAAAATGAAGCATTCCTCCTTCATCCCTTTCCTATTAAAATAAGTATGGATGTCTAATATTTTAATTATAAAGCATTTAAGCAAAAAGAACCCTAAAGACCAGCCAAGCTAAAATACAATGCACACCTTCCCGCCTTTCATGCCGTCGATCATGAGACTGTGAAGTTCTGTCATGATCATGCCTCCCCTTGTCTCGCATTGGGGAGCGATGCCTTTGAGGACTCTGCTTTCTCTGAGGAGAAGACAAACAATGTGAAGGATAAGGGGAAGCAGAACGTCGTAAAGATGGAGTTAAAGTCCGCTGATAAGATGGTGAAGGAGTTCTTTTGTGCCGAGGAGAAGGAGAATGTCTTTGAATAGATGATCCCGATTGAGAGGATGATGAGTGATGTCTAGAAGATATAGGAGAATGATGTTGTCCAGCTGGGGAAGTGGATCTATGAAGGAAAACAATAAACATGCTCAACACCCTCAATTGTAGCCAAAGGAAAAAAACTCTTTAAAACAGTAAAGACTGTATATCCTAACTTAAAGCTTAGAATTCACTCTGATAAACTCTGACTAGTAAGAGCTACATAGGAGGTGACTGCTCATAACTTCAAGGTTTCTAGGAAAGGGAAGCTATCACTACCTGAGCCAAGCAGAGTCTGTGCTGCCTGTTTTGATATTTAGGACTTTACATTCATCATCAAGTTACCATAAAACACAGAAAATACCAAGCGTTGGTGAAGATGTGGAGAAATCAAAATTTTTGTGCATTGTTGGTGGGCTTGTAAATTGTGTAACTGATATGGAAAGTAAGTTCCTTAAAAAATTCCTCAAAAACAGCAATAAAATTATTTTATGATCTAGTAATCCCACTTCTGGGTATGTACTCAAAGTAACTCAAGTAACTCAAAGAAGAGTCTGGAAGTAGTGGTCTAACAATACTTTCTAAGTACTAACAAACTATACATTTAAAAATGGTTAAGATAGTAAATGTTTATGTTTTTATAACAACAAAAAAAATCCAAAGATAAATTTCAAAAGCTGTTATTTCAAAAGCTTAATCATCCATGACTCACTATTGAAACTAGTAAGCAGAATACACAACTAGAAATAAAACAAAAAACTCATACTAATGCTTAAAAATTTCTGCAGAGTAAGCACTTGAGAATCTACAAAAGTAGCATTTTTAAATCTTACTTACCTTGGCTTCTCTCTTTTTTCTCTTTGCCTTTCAAAATCTCGTCCTCTGTCCTTCCCATCTCTTGGTTTTTCTTCAATCCTATCTTTCACTTTATACTTTTCTTTATATTTTTTTCCCAGAGCAATATCTTCTAGTATAGGAGGAGGAGGACTGGGTGTACGTGGCCCTTTCTTTTTACTTTGGTTGCCTTTTGAATTCCTGAAGGTAACAAAGAGCTATCATTACAGGTCTAAATATTTTTGTAATACCAAATGGATATTTTAAAAAGTGCTTTTTAAAAATAGCAGCCTTGGGGGTTGGGGAGTTAGCTCAGTGGAAGAGCTCTTGCCTGGCAACTGCAAAGTCCTGAGTTCGGTCCTCAGGTCTGGGGGGTAAAACAGCAGCCTTTGCCAGGCACTGGTGGCTCACTCCTGTAATCCTAGCTACTCAAGGAGGCTGAGATCCAAGGATCACAGTTCAAAGCCAGTCTGGGCAGAAACATCTGTGAGACTATCATCTCCAATAAACTACTCAGAAAAGGCCAAAAATGGTGCTGTGGCTGAAGTGGTAGAGTACTAGCCTTGAGCACCAACATGAGTTAAAGCCCCAAGACTAAAAAAAAAGCAGCCTTCTTTTCCACTGCTTTACTTTTAACTACGGTGTATACTAGTAACTGATACTTACTACTTATTTTTCTAAACACTGCCTATTGTTAAATAAAACAACTGCTTCAACTGGATTTTAAAGTTCACAGTATAAAAGTAAATAATGAAAGCAAAACTGATCAGGTATCTCTGTATCTAGCTCCTCAGAAAACAGGAGGATTCTAGTTCAAGGCCCTTTAGACAAAAATTTAATGAGACCCTTATCTCAATAAACAAGCTGAGGACTCTGAACTACCTTTTCCACCCTTAATTACATCAGTTTTAATTTCACTGCATCTCTGTTATGACCAAAACTGCTTAAGTTTATTAGCTACTGTATCTCCTGGACCTCTCAAGTAAATTCCAATGCCATTCCCATCTCTTCTTTTACTTGCCACTATCTTAGTTATAAAATTTAATAACGTTTTCTTTAAATAGAAACCATCTTGGATCCTAAATCTATTTCCTATTACCTTGAGTAATAAGAAATAGTCTCAATATTCCTCAGTAGTCTCAATATTCCTTGGATGTAAAAAGATAGTATACAATCCTTAAAATTGCTGATACAATTTTTAAAAAAACATAAAAGCATCTGAATTATGATTAGCATGCAGAAAATTTAACTCTCTTGATTCTTATCTTTATTTCTTATCACAGATTGGGTCAATCACTTAGGCAAGTAAGAAATTACTAAAAGCTGATGACAAAATTTATTTTTCATTCTTAATTTCTAAGAACAACAATACATCATCTCATTGAATATTTATGAGATAACTCAACCTTTTCATACACCTAAAATGAAATGTGTTTATATTCCTAGGTATCTATCTAAATGATATCTATCTAAATGCCTATGTTTACCAATCTTTTTTCCTTGGCACACTGCTGAACCATACATCTGATACATTTCGAAAATAGGTGTGGCCAACTGACCAAGACCTGGTCAAAAGTAGGTGAGTATGGGCTGGGAAGGTAGCTCAGTAGTAGTATGCTTGCCTTGCATGAATGAGGCCCTAGGTTCGATTCCTCAGTACCACATAAGCAGAAAAAGCCAGAAGTGGCACTATGGCTCAAGTGGTAGAGCACTACCCTTGAGCTGAAAAGCTGAGGGACAATGCCAAGGCCCAGAGTTCAGGCCCCACAACCAACCAAAAAAAAAAAAAAAAAGTGAACAAAAAGGATGTGTATGTCTAGGTCTGATTCTCTAAGGACTCTTATGATAGACCAGGCAATTGGTAGACTACAGATATAAAGTTTCCTTGTATATTCCATTCTTTGATTTTCTTGAAAGTCCAAGAAAAGAGAATCATGGTCAGAAGGTACCTGTGTTACTGAATTTCATATATAGAACAACAGCTAATATTTGGAAATACCTAGTTTGATTCCACTTGAGAAATTTTTGTTTCTTCTGAACCTAAATGTTATGTTAAACCACTGACATTTTGGGATTTAGCTATTGCTAGAACCAGGATTATCCTCATATACTAAAGAGAGAATTTCTTCACATTACTTTTACAAATATATGTGCTTAAAAAAACAATTATGCTACACTGCATTGTTTTCTGTTTTGTTTTGGTCACTAATGGGGCCTTAACTCTGGGACTGGGCGCTGTCCCTCAGCTCTTCTGCCAAGGCTAGCGCTATACCACTTGAGCCACTGCATCACTTCCCACTTTTTCTGCTTATGTGGTGCTGAGGAATTGAACCCAGGGTCTCATGCATGCAAGGCAAGCACTCTACCACTGAGCCACCTCCCCAGCCCTATTGCATCATTTTCTAGAGAAAGGAAGCAACACTGATTTTAAATATTCTCACATCAATAAGACCTTTCAAGATATGATTCTCTCCCATCCCAATCAATTTGTTTTGAATATCTTTTTGACATAATTCATATTTGTATTACGAATAAAGAAAAACTTAACTAACAAAAACTAAGATTAAAACTGCAGATCGAATAGATATTAGATGTATGATTTTGGGGGGGGGCGAGAAGTACTAGTACTGGGGCTTGTATTCAGGGGGCTAGGTGCTGTACCTGAAGTTTTTTGCTCAAGGCTAGGCTGTACTACTCAAGTTACAGCTCCCCTTCTGACCTTTTGGTGGTTAATTGGAGATAAGAGTCTCATGGACTTTCCTGCTGTGGACAAGCTCTGAATCCTCAGATCTCACTCAACCACCTATGTAGCTAGGATTATAGGTGTGAGCCACCAGTTCATAGTGATTTATGATATTTATTAACACTCTATCACATATCTCAAGATTAACAACTATACTGAATATTAACTATCAAAAATGCTAACTTTCAGGGAGAAGTTTGAGTTGTGATTTGACAGTAATTTTATGTCCATTCAATATGAAAATGTTTACTTGCCTCTGAATTGACTTACTGGTATTAGCTGAAATGTTCAGTTGAATTTACACTGAATTAAACTGTTTAATGTGTCTTTTGTTTACTGTTTGATCCAGCAATAAAATTAAAAGTTGATTATCTGACATACTCATTAATGTGCATTGCAAAGAGAAACTGTACATGATAATTCAACATGCTTCTTTTCTTTGTATTTCTTTAAGTATTTTTTTTTAGTCTTTTCTTTCTTGGTACTGGGGATCAAACATAGGATGCTGTACTTGCTAGGAAAGTGCTTAGCCACTGACCTGTATCTAGCTCCTTTTTGATATTTTTAATGTACTCTTTTCTAGGATTTTCTCTGCTATTATTAATATAATGGTGCAATAGTTAACAAACTATTGCAAGATAGGAAATATAGTAGTTAAATCAATGCGAAAAATTGTGTTACTAACACAATAAAAAAGAGTAAATGAAAGAAATAACAAAGCCTTCATCTAAACAATAATTAAAATTTTCTATAAAGGGATTAAATTTCAATTATTTCATGAATGGAAAATATAAGAAAACAAAGAAAAAGAAAGGGCATTTCTGGTATGCAATTCATTGAAGAAATGAAAAGAAATACACACACATACATGGTTAGCCAAAAGGATAAGATAAGTGAAATGGATCAGATCACACCATGATTCAAGTTTTTCCACATCACTTTGAGCTATTTACTCACTAACAGAACAAAGAAGAGGATCAAGTCAATGTTACTGAGTGCCTTATTACAATGCAAAGCTCTATGCAAAGCCAGTACTGTGGAAAAACAGTACAGTGAACCATCAAGATCCCAATTTCAAGGAGCTTAAATTTAATAGAGGTTGTAAAACATATGTCATAGCCAAAATATAAGTACAACAAAGGAAATAAAAATTATGTCTGGTAAGGAGAAAAAAGAAAACATTTTCAAAAACTTTGAGTTTAAGCTAAAGATGGACAGACTGAATGTAGAAGATTGTAGTAGGAGGGAGATTAAACAAAAATATTGCCAAGATAGAAAAGATCAAAGTATGATTATCATACTGAAGAACTCAATTTCCTTCTATAAAATGGAAAACCTCTGAATTTTCTATGGTAATACATTAATCAGAATAGTCCTTAAAGATTTCCCTAAAAACATGGGTAACATGAATGGGTGGAAGGTTGGTAATAGAAAATGCATTAAAAAAAAAGTCTGAGTAGGCATGGTACTATATAGGATGAACACTATAAAGTGGACACCATTTGTTAACTGATCAAATGTTAAAGGAAGGAGGCTTGTAGTTATTTTTTAAGGCTAACGTGTGAAATTTAATTAAAATAATAAATAGTAGTGGGCTGGGATGTAGCTCAGTGGCAAAGCGCTTGCCTAGCAAGCGCAACATCCTGGGTTCGATCCCCAGTACCAAAAAAGAAAAGACAAAAAAATACAGTTAAAAAAAAAAAACCAAACAACAAAAAAAATAATAAATAGTAGTAGTGACATTTAATGAAAACTTGCTAAATTATTGTTGAATCCCCATATAATTCTAATTATCTCTTATTTTGACAGCTGTTACCATTTTAAACATGCCCAGCTGCTGCGATGCGTTCTTTTTCTTGATAATGTACATCAAGAGATAATAGTTATTGTATATACTCTACAATATCTAAAAACTGAAAGCAACATGTTCAATAAAAGTATGTAGTATGAATATTAAAATGAAGTAAAGCTAAAACTATCAATATAGATAAATATCAGAAAATGTAAAGTGAAAAAACCAAGACAAGCCAAGTTACATAATGTACTTGTTTTACAATAGATGACATTAATATTGCAGTCTGTGTAACAGTACACATTAGTGAAAGTATACACACATGTATATAGTTTATAAACCCAAGAAAAATCCACTATATTTCACTTCTTAAAAATTGAAAAACTCTGAAGCACATGCACATATAACAGTATTTAGTAGTTTTCTGTAATTTTTTTACCTTTTAAAATAAAGGCTTACACATAATACTAAATGTATTAGAGGTAAATTTTTATAACCAACTAAGTAATTCTTTCCAGTTAGCATTCAGAAAAATATACACTATTTATTGCCCTACTGACCTCTGCTGGTCCAGCAAGGGAGAAGACACTGCAGAAGTCTTCTTGTCTTTCTTGGCAGCTGAAGAAGATTTGGGGCTTGATTTCCGCTTTGGAGATTTGCTAGACTTTCTTAAAGGTGATGGAGACAATTTTGATCTAACTACTTCTGGTGAAACCTTTCAAGAGAATTCAGTAAGTCAATTCAGAAATTTATTCAATCATTATACAACAATAATACATCCTTTTCTCTTTTTTTCAAAACAAAAAAAAGGACCCTTGGATTAAAAACTAAGTAGTACTAGTTACCATTTGTTGACAGACTAATTACTGAACCCAAGTTTTAACCTGTCATAAGTAGGTTTGTAGGTAGGTAGGTAGGTAGAGATTAGATAGATAGATAGATAGATAGATAGATAGATAGATAAATAGATAGATAGATAGATAGATAGATAGATAGATAGATAGATAGATAGATAGATAGATAGATAGATAGATAGATAGATAGATAGATAGATTGCCAGTTGTGGGGGCTTGAACTTGTGGCCTGGGTACTATCCCTGAACTCTTTTGTTCAAGGCAAGCATTCTACCACTTTGAGCCATAGCACCACTTTCCATTTTCTTGTGGTTAATTGGAGATAAGAGTCTCACAGATTTTCCTACCTGGGCTGACTTTGAACCACAATCCTTAGATCTCAGCCTCCTGAGTAGTTAGGATGACAGGTGTGAGCTACCAGTGCCCACTTTAAACTATCATATTTCAATGAGCTAACATAAACTAGTATCAAGAACACAAAGTTAGGAGATTTCAAGGTCTCCTAAATTAGTTTCCAGTGAGCTTTACCTCCACATCTTAGAAAAGTCAACAGAGCACTCTTAAAAATAGCATGGGCCGCCGGGCGCTGTTGGCTCACGCCTGTAATCCTAGTTACTCAGGAGGCTGAGATCTGAGGATCACGGTTCAAAGCCAGCCCGGGAGACCGTGAGACTCCTATCTCCAATAAACCACCAGAAAACCGGAAGTGGCGCTGTAGCTCAAGTGGTAGAGCGCTCGCCTTGAGCTGAAGAGCTGAGGGACAGCGCCCAGGCCCAGAGTTCAAGCCCCACGACCGACAAAAAAAAAAAAGCATGGGCCCAAAACAGGTATGTACATTCAATTACTTCCTATTTGCTTGTACCCTAAGCAATGGATCTTCAGCTTTATTCAACAGCAAAATTATTCCCTATTATTAACATAAATGGAGGAAATAAATTACTCTATAGTAAACTGATCAATGTATCAGTATCTAGAATAATTCATTTTTCTGATCACTATTTGTGCTATCACAAGCATATATTTCTTGAAGTAAATAAGATACCTCCTTTTTAATGATAATTTCTTCTCTCTTCTCCATATTTTCTTGTTCCAGCTTCATTAACTCCCTCTGTATCTTCTGCCGCTTCATTTCCAATGATAACTCATGAACATAATCATAATTAATATCTCCATTGTCAGAATCTTTAAAATAAAAATTTTTAGAAACCATAATTATACAGCTTTATAAAAATTATATAAATTTAAATGGCAAGTTCTTTCATTTGAATAACATAATTCTAAATATAAAATATAGTCTACAAAGAATTAAAAGTACAATGATTAATTTCTTTGTGAAAAGCAATACTTTCTTATGGTTTGTGGGGTTTTTTTGAGAGTAATTTGGGATTATGTGGTGATTTGGCATTTTGTTAAGAGATTTATACTTACAATTCAAGCTGGGAATGTAACTTCAGTGGTAGAGTGAACTAATGACTAACATAGAAGTTGCCTCTACTTTTAACATAGTGCAAGAGGTTGCCTAACATGAAGGTCTTAGCTTCAATCCAGTATTGCACAACTAATCAAGGTACAATTAAAGCACTGAAATATGCTAAGAATGAAAGAAAACAAAGCCTTCAATATTTCATGCTATATTTGATGTGATAATCTCCTTGATTTATTTGAAAAATTCATTGCTCAAGTAAGGTTATGTGTTAAATTTATAACATTACCTTTTATAATTTGGTAATTTTTTTGTGTAAGACAAAGAGTTACATTGAGCTGGGCATTGGTGGCTCATGCCTATAATCCTAGCTATGCATGAGGCTGAGGATCATGGCTGAAAGTCAGCCAAGGCAGCAAAATCTGTGAGACACTTACCTCCAAATAACTAGAAAAAGCTGGAAGTGGAGCTGGGGCTCAAGTGGTAGAACACTAGCCCCAGGACTGGCATACACACACAAAAAGATTTATAATGAAAATTAAACTAATTTTAATTAATTTTTTGCATATACGTATTGATTTCTGTCCTAATCCAATACCACATTGGGCTTTATTGATCATAAGCAGAGGTGCTTTCTCAAGCTTTACTTCTACCCTTATTTCCTAACCTGAGCTAGAGATAACAGCAACAAAAACCCTAAAACACACTAAATCTAAGTATTTCTACATAGCTGCTTAAGATAGAAGAAAATATATTGCCAGGTATAACACAGGTACATTGGAATGATCTTGATTGGTGACTGGATATGTCTATATATTCATTGTCTGTGTGACCAAACTTCATTACTCATCTTATGATATAGTATGATGACAATATCACCATAATAATAAAATAGACTAAACCATGATTTTAGTCAGAAAGCAATTACTAAATATTTAAGGGTAGATAGTTCTTACCACAAATAATTAGAAGTACTGACTTTATTAAATGAGTAACAGCTACCTTTACTTACTACTTTGTACTGGATTAAGACTGTATGTAGGTAAATAAAAAGATTCAACCAACTTGCTTGACTATATTCTTAATTAAAATTCTATAATCAAACATCTAAATAAAACAGTAATTGAAGAGAAGGTAACCGTGTGCCTTAGGTATCTGAATCCTGCTATCTCCAAATATCAATAGAGAACACATAAGAAACAAAAAGGTAGCTTTTAGTACGTAATTCCCAACTACCCAATCAAGGGAGGGGAGAAGCTTCAGCATTTAAAGTATCTATCAAAGTTGGTCAGATATGAAGATTCACATCTTTTATCCTAACTAATCAGAAAATAAGAGACTGAGAGAATCCTAATCCCACATCAACCAAAGCAAGAGTATGACCCTATCTGAAAAATAACTCACAAGTGCTTACCAAGCAAGCTCAAAGCTCTAAGTTCAAAACCCAAGTATTGCCCTCCAAATATATACACATCTGTCTGTGTGTGTGTGTGTGTGTGTGTGTGTGAGAAAGAGAGAGAGAGAGAGAGAGAGAGAGAGAGAGAGACCTGGAGAATTACAGTTCAAAGCCAGCCCAAGCAGAAAAGTTTGTAAGACTCCATCACCAAAATAAATACTTAGCCAAAAGCCACGACTCGTGTTAAGAGTGCCAGTCAAGCAAATAAGTCAAAGGAGCACAAGGCCAAGTTCAAACCCAGTTACAGAGGTGTTGAGAGGAAATCTTAGGAGATTTCAAAAATATTAAATATAACTTGTACAGTATATTTAAGAAAATACTCAAAATACAACAAAAATATATGCAACACACTGAAGTGACATTCTTTATAAAGAACCCTTACTGTTGAATAAAACAAATAACCTAACAAATTCAAACAAAAAGAGAAAAGATACAAACGACACATAAATGTCTTTTTCATGTATTATGGAGTTTTTTTATTCCAATTTTAGTACTGTTTGCAAAAGGCCCAGATACTACTTTTTTTTTTTTTTTTTTTTTTGGTCATGGGGTTTGAACTCTGGGCCTGGCCTCAGCTCTTCAGCTAAAGGCGAGAGCTTTTACCATTTGAGCCACAGCGCCACTTCCTGTTTTTGTTTTTTTTTCTGAGTGTTTATTGGATGGAGATAAGAGTCTCTCTCAGACTTTCCCTGTCTCGGCTGGCTTTGAATCCTGATCCTCTGATCTCAGCCTCCTTAGTAGCTAGGATTACAGACGACTACTTCTTGTAAAATAGTTTATACAAGCCTTAAGAACATTCACATACCCTTTATATAACAGTTTTATTTCTAGTAACTTATTGCTTGGAAATAACTAATGTTTTAAGAGCCTACAAGTCTCCTACTTCCTTTTGTTTTCATTTATGCTATATTCTCACTATTAAACATCTAAAATAATTCTGAATACACACAAGAAAAAACAATGAAGCTCCTTCATATTCTATCAGCACCATCCAATGGTAACACTGTTGACAGTTTCATGTATTAAAAAAAACTTTACATTCTTCTCATTAACATAATTTAAACATTAAAACAAAAGCCTAAGCAAGGCAGAAGATTAAGGTTGGAGGATTAAAAGGTGGGAGTCCTGGTCTACACAATAAGACACAACCTTGAAGTAAGTAAGTGAATAAACAAAACAATGGAATCAAATACAAACACTGTCCTATAAACAATATTCTCCCATGTCATACACAGGGCTCAACCATTTTCTTTTTCTGCCATTCCATTCTATCACATTCCATGCCATTCCTTATTCCCTTTTCACCTATTTCAGCAATATCCAGGTCTGATGTCAGAGCCTTGTGTTTTCCAGGCAGGTACTCTATCCCTCTAGCTCTTTTTTGCTTTTAGTATTTTTCAAGTAGTCGCTCACATTCTTGCCCAGGGCCAGACACAGACCATTATCATCTTACCTAAAGCCTCACACATAGCTGGGACTACAGGTGCACATCTCCACATCCAGCTAATGGACTGAGATGGGGTCTTGATAACTTTTTGTAGCTGGGATTACAGGTGTGAGCCACGTCCAGCCCTCAATCACCTTCATTTTAACATCTGCAAAGCATTTCATAATAATGAACCTACTTGACCAGTTTCCTTCGGACAGTCATACAGCTTGTTTTCAATAATTTGATATTATAGACAGGAGTTCAATGAACATTTTGATAGCTATTTTTGTTTTATGAGAAAGTTATTTCTTTATGACAAATTTCTGGAATAAAAGGTAGTTAGTTTCTATTTTTTACCATGACCAAACTGCACCCCAAAAAACAACTATCCCATCATAAACTTCCATTTAAAAACATTAGATTTTATATCTGCTGAACTGTAGTCTTTTCCTGCAGTGAGGCTGTCTACTTATTGTTGACCATTTCTATTTCTTCCAAGTTAACTATTACATAATTTTTTGGCAGATTTTTAAGTTGATTAGTATCTTCTTAGGTATCTGTGGGAGTTATGTTTATAATGTCTTTATTAATTGATACATGTCAAATATTTTCTCATGTTCAATATATCACATGTCAAATATTTTCCTCTAGTTTATGCTACCTTTAGTTATGCAGAAATGTCTATTATGGAATCAAATCTTAAAAATTCATTTCTATGTTTTTTATTTTATACTTTATTGTAGGAAAATGAACTTGTGTCCAAGATTACCAAAATAGTTTTATACTGGATGAGAGCTACTGGATGAGAATGTACAGCATTAACTTCTTATCTATCAGGTAAGAGCTTACCTTCCAGAACAAAGAGGAAGAGAATATTCATGGTGGGAAAAAGTCTACTATTTGCTTAAAAAAAAAAAGGCTCAAAAGGCAATTTTACTTATATTCAAAAATAAATTCTGTGGTTCAATTATCACTTGGATTTCTTCCGAAAAATGACAGCCAACAATTAATTTCTTAGAAATAATTTTCTCAGGGGCTGGGAAGGTGGCTCAGTGGTAGAGCGCTTGCCTTTCATGCCTGAGGCCCTGGGTTCGATTCCTCAGCACCACATAAGTAAAAAAAAACAAAAAACAGGAAGTGGCGCTGTGGCTCAAGTGGTAGAGTGCTAGTCTTGAGCTGAAGAGCTGAGGGACAGTTCCCAGGCCCAGAGTTCAGCACCCGTAACTGGACCAAAAAAAAGAAATAATTTTCTCAGACGTTTAATCCTTAACCTCATTTTTAGCATTTTATGTAAAACAAAATTTTTTTTTAGCCTTAGTATTGATGAATTTTAGTATTACACACATGATAAAACCCCATGCTGCACAATGAAGTTGCAGAAGAGAAAGAAAGGATGGGGCAGTTTAAGTAGGCAACACAAAGTACTTTTTCTGCCTCTGTACTACTACTTTATACTAATTTCTGCCTTACTGCTCAGAAATGGGTTAATCTGGTAATTCTAGAAGAATAGAGAGGTCACAGGTGAACAGTCTTAGGGCTCATTAAAAATCTACAAAGTGAACAATCTGGAGATTATTAGAAAGCAAAGGTTTTGAAACTCACCATCTCTATTTGTTTCCCATTCTACATTTTCTTCTTCACTTTCTGGGGTTCGTTCTTTAGTGATTTTTATGTCTTCCTTGTCTCTATGTCTCCCTCTTGAAGATTCTTTCTAGAAAGTAAATATATACATAAAGATGACCATATTTTGAAAAACTATATGAGGTAGCTCTTAGAACATACAATATTTTCATTTCATTTAGCTGTTTCATTAAACAAATGCTTTTGTAAAACAATCATTTATCTACAAGTAAGGACTGACAAGGTCTAGTGTAGCACCACAGAAAAAAATCTACCTTGTAATTATTTTATTAAAAAATAGTGATTTGTTAAATGTAATCAGTACTTCAGATTTTAGAAACATAATGAAAATCTACTACTTTTAATAAGCACTTGATAATTCTCTTACATACTTACTGTGGGAAAAGTTTTAAGTAGATATAGATTAGAAAATTACCAATTAAAAAACAATAAAAATATTTTTAAGCCCCCAGAAGTCTCAAAAATAATCAACCTAGGAAAATCTACTAAAGTAACAGACATTACATACTGAAGGATAAATTCAAACTCCTTTAGTAATTTTATAAAAGCCTTTTCTTCCTTTTCTTTTTCTCTTTCTTCTTTTGGTGCCGGTACTTGAACTCTCAAGGGCCTTACACTCTTGCTTGGTGTATTTGCTCAAGACTGGTGGCTACCGCTGAGTCACAACTCTACTTTTGGTGGTAGACTGGTGATAAGGGTCTCACAAGCTTTTCTGCCCAGGGAGGATATGAATCATGATTCTCAGATCTCACCTCTTGTGTAACTAAGACACAAGCATGAACCAACCACCAATGCCTGGTTTACAAACACCTTTTACAAAAAGGTGATGTTTGCCTATTTTTATCAAGCTAAATCAGTTAACAGATTAATCCTTTAAAAACAAAAACAAAAAAGAACAAGTTTTTTTTTTTTTTTTTTTGTCCGGTTGTGGGGCCTGAACTCTGGGCTTGAGCACTGTCCCTCAGCTCTTCAGCTCAAGGCTAGTGCTCTACCACTTGAGCCACAGCACCACTTCCTGCTTCTGTTTATGTGGTGCTGAGGAATCAAACCCAGGGCCTCATGCATGCAAGGCAAGCGCTCTACCACTGAGCCAACTTCCCAGCCCCCAAGTTTATATCTTAATCCAAGTGTAACAGTGGCCTAAATAGAAAACAATTGGTAGTTCAATTTATAAAATTCAACTGACCAATTAATTCAACCTATTATATAAGACTCCAAACCACATTTTATTAGGTAGAATTATGACCTCTTGTAGGTATCTCAGCCCTCAGGGATGAGAGCCTCCCTGGAGTGTTTGTTTCCGGAGGACAAATGTGAATGCGGACAAGAGTCATTTGGGAACCCTTTAGGAGTGCATCTGGGCAAGCTGTTCATGCTCCTCCCCCAAGCTGCCCACTTCCAACAGGCAGCTCATCACGTGGGGCTGGAGGCCCTACACCCTTTAGGGGCATGCCTTGCACCCTGGAGGCACCCTGAGGCCCCGCCCTCTCTGGCAGCCCTGCAGAGCCTCACCTCTTGATGCCCGGCCCCCTCCAGCAGGCTGGGCTGATTATCTGGGGCGGCTGTCTGGTTATTACATTGGTAGGAAAAATACAAGTAACCAGGGCTACCTCCCCACTACTGTAAAATTCTTACTTTTATTAACAATCTACAACTATGTATGACAATGAAAATGACATTTAGTGCTCAAACTTTTTTCTGATCATCATCAGTCATGTAACTTGGCTGCCTAAAACAGAAATTACATTCTCCTTGAAATTTGCTTTTAAACTGCCTTTAAACTTTATGTATTTAGATATAAAGTTATATTTTAAGTATCAAAATGACTTATATGACTACTTATTATGACAAGTCTCATTAGGCAACAATGACTGAAAAAACTATTAAATATCATACTAGGCACTGTGGCTTACAACTGTAATCTTAGTTACTCAGAAAGCAGAGATCTAAGAATCACAGTTCAAAGCCAGCCCAGATAGGAAAGTCTCTCACCTATTATCTGCAATGAACCACCAAAAAGCCAGAAGCAGAGCTGTGGGTCAAGTGGGTAAAACACCAGCCTTAGGCAAAAAAGCTAAAGGATAGTGCCCACCTAGTATGGAAACAAACAAAATCAACACTAAAGTGAAAAACCCAGAGTTCAATCTCTCGTTCACACACACACACAAAATCCTTGGGACTAAAAAATATTATGAAATAATTATGAAAAAATTATGAAAATGGATGGCCACTGACTTGTACATCTAAAAGACTAAAAGAGTGTATTTTATTACAATTAAAAATTAAAACATCGATACTTAAAAAAATATGTCTTTGCCCATCTGTTCTGAGCAAAGGGATACCCCCATAGTGCATCTGTAAATCCTAGACATTCTCCTACAAATTATGACTTTCTTGAATGTGGCCACAATTATTAGCAAGCCCCTAGTCATCTAGGTCTGATGGCATGCATCTGTTGTAGTCGCAGTTATGCAAGAAGCCAACAGGTAGGAGGAATGTAGTCCAAGGATGGTCTTGGGCAAAAATCCAAAACCCTATACAAAAATGACAAAAAAAATATAAAGAGTAACCCTCTTTGACTCAAGTGGTAGATGACTGCTTAGCAAGGTATCAGACCCCTCAGTACTTAAAAGAAAATTAGCTCCAAGTTTTTACAAGAAAATGAACATCTTCCAGACAATGAAAACAAGAGGTATTTTTTTTGTTGTTGTTATGGCTTTTGTGTTCTCCACTTTTTGTCTTGTTTATTTGTCTTTAGGAGGGAAAGGAGGGGCACAGAAATGGAGGGAAGAAGGGTAAATAAATGCAACAGTGATACTCAGTAGACACTATGTTGAAAATAAACTATACAACCTGTGACATTTACACAACATATCCAGGATGGATAAATCCACAAAAAGGACTGATGGTCAATGGAGGAAACAGGAAGGTGTTGCTAAAAGGTTTAGGGGTTCCTTTAAGGTGGAGAACAAAACCAACAACACTGTATGTATGACCTGAATGAATGAATTCTATTTTATGTGACGTTAACTCAAAAATTATGTTTAAACAAACAAACAAACAAGTATGATATTGGAAAAACTTTGCTATGGGAAAGATATTCAAATTCATAATCAACACTTGTATTTTCTTTTTTCCTTTTTTGTTTGGTTGGTCATGGGGCTTGAACTCTGGGCCTGAGCGCTGTCCCTCTTCAGTTGAAGGCTAGAGCTCTACCACTGTAGCCACAGAACCAATTCCTTGTATTTTCTTTTATTCAATGAACTATTATATATTTCACTTTATCTTAAATTTCTTCTTTCCTTTTGGCTTGCCAACAAATTCACATCTAAATTTTGTGGTCCCACATGCATTGCTGGTAAGCTATTAAATTATCCCCAAACTTTGCTTCCAAATAGTTACAGTTCACAAGTGTTCTACCAGGAACAACTTCAATCTTTCTTGGAAGTAAAATATGACCTTTGATTGATTTCTGAAAACTTTAGAATACTTTTAAAAATTCATAATCTCCAGCAAGATATCAAAACCTTATGAAGTCTATCTTAAGCCAGTCAATTCCTTTCATCTAGCCATCAAAAAGTACTGTAACAGTTTCCCAGGGTACTGTTATCCTTCAGATTATTGTAGCCATATAAGACATTAGAACTCCTAAATATGATTACTATACATACATCTAGCATACAACTTAATATTTAAACAGAACTTAGAAAAAAAATCACCACTGAAATTTCACTGAGTTTTGAGCAATCCATTCTTACCCTAACAGGTGAAGATGACTCCTCTGTATTTCGTTTCTGGGACTCAGTGTCCACATCTTGGCGCTTATTTTTCATTCTTTCTCTGAGATCCCCTGTAGGTCTTTCTGGTGACCTTTTGAGACAAAACATAAAAACAAAAATATTTATTTATTTATACCATTTTATAAGATCATATCTGTAGAAATAACCTCAAATATATTTATAGACATACTCTCAATATATTTTCTAGCCTTTTTTAACTCCTAAACTTCTAAAATATAATTTATTTCAACTTAGGATTAATAATTAAGCAATAACATGAGTATGAGAAAAAGTAATCAAAGTAATTGCTTGACTTGTTTTCTTATTAGCTACATAATATACTAGTTACGTGTGGAAGGAAAAGACAGACTAAAGTAATTTGAAGATACAAATAGCAAAATTAATCTAGAAGTAAAAACATTTTAATCTAAATAGATATATAGTTGGATACAACTAAAAAATATTTTATATTCCTTAAAAATGAAACATATGTAAGAATTTCATGCTAATTATGCTAGCTTCTCTTAAATTTAAGTTATTCTAGAATAAAAGTGGTTAAAATTAAAATTATTTAAAATTAATTTTCAATTATTTTTGTGACAAACTTTATGTACATTACCTCTTTAAGTACAATTACAAAATCAAGAAGAAATCAAAAGAAAAGGGACTATATTAATTTATCCAAACCTCTTCTAAAGGTAAAATGATGTTCTAAATAGGAACTATGTTTATCCACATGTAAACCTGTTTTTTAAATTAGTATATTGTGCTAAAGGATTTGGCAAAACACATTTTGATCAACAACAGTAGTGCAGGATTTTAATTTAGAACATCCTTACATACACTAAAGTTATATCCTATTCAGTCTAATAGTCTAACCCCACTTAAATTCTGGCACCATGGAATTTTGCTGCCTTAAGTAGCAATATATAGAGGGAAAGTAAGCCATACATATGCTCATTACAAGATTTGTCATCAAAACATCTATTAAGCACATATATTCATTTTAAAATTAATATTTTATTAATCTTTAACCCAAAACATTTTGCCCATCCATACCTTGTTGGTGACTAGTACCAAAATAGAAATTGACCAAATATATGGTTGTACTTTAGACCTTCATACTAGACAATTTCCAAGTGTTAACTTCTAATAGCATATGAAAACTTGGACTTTCTGTTTACCTTCTATAGTTGCTGCTATAACCTTTTCCACGCGGTGAAGGGCCATGTATAAACCTACATGTGTTTCCATAGAGGCAGTTGCCAGTCTTCAGCCAGTTCCGGCACTGTGTCTAAAAGAAAGATATCACGATATAAGTTTCATATTGACTTCCTGAGAAAAGATACTAGTGGGCCAAAATTAAAACAAATGCTACCCAATTCCAACTAATCTATGATATATCACTCTACCACTAAATTTTTTAAAATAAGAAAAATTATAAAAAACCCATAAACTCTACCTTTTCATTCCATTCTATCAAACATTTAACACATGTTAAATGTTACTAAGACAATATTCGTATCCTTAAATATTGTGAGACCAAGACTCAAACTCATTATCTCTTGTTTTCACTCACTGTTGCTCTACTACCTGAGCCATGCCATCAACCTCAGTATTTCAATTCTTAATATTTTCTTTTTCCCTTTTTTCCTCCAGTGAGGACTGAATCAGGGCCTCATACAGGCTAGGCAAGCCCTCCACCACACTCTCAGCCCTTTCAATATAGATTGTATGTGCGTGCGTGCGTATGTGTGTGTTTGTGTGTGTGTGTGTGTGTGTGTGTGTATGTTACTTGCTCACAGTTGGTACTCTACCACTTGAGCTATGCTGCCAGTCCAGCCTTTTTTCTGGTTAACTGGAGACAGTCAAACTTTTCTGCCTGAGCTGGCTTCAAACAAATATCCTCAGATCTTAGCCTCCCAAGTAACTAGGATTACAGGTATGAGCCACCAGTTCTCGGCTCAATTACAGGACTTGAATGACTAACCTCTATGACTACATTGTAACAACTCACCTCTGCTGTACTACCAGTGCTTGGTCCAAGCCTCTCGAATACACTGGGTCTTCTGGATGTGCTGTCAGATATGGTCTTGGTGTTTTCCACTGTGACTTTCCTCCTTATCTTTGACATTTTGTACTACCTTAACAATGACAAAAAAAAGGCAAAATTGTAAAATTCTTCAATTTCAAATAATTAAGCTCATAACTTAAAAGTACTTCAGGTAATACTTTAATTTACAGAGGACTTTCCTTGGGGAAGAAGGCACAGGAGAGATCACAGGTAAGCAAAGACTAAGTACATACTAAAGAATGCCCTAGTAAATACATAACAACTTTAAAATCTGTTGACTAGAATTATATCATTTTTCATCTCTCATAATACATTCAACTTCAGAAATTATACTAGAAAATGTACACTTCACAACTTACTTAAAAACCTGTTTTCAATTTTAGTAGCTCCATTGTTTAGAGGAAAAGCTGTTAACCAAAAATGGCTTGGGTTCTCTATGAAAGAAAACGGGGGCGGAAATCAAGTGAAATTTTAATTGAGAGTAGAAACTATGTTTTTATATGGTTTAAATGACAACAGAAATTATGCTTCAGATATCAGTACATAAAAAGCCAGGCCAACTGGCATATCCATGGAACCTCAGCAGTGGGGAGGCAGGGGAACAGTTGACTAGTTCAAAGCCAGTCTGGGCTACATTTTGAGATCCTGTGTCCAAAATAAAACAAAGCAATAAATCAGAATGGAAGAGAGCCAAATGTTATTTAAGAAAGTTCTTTACTTGAAAAGGTCAAAGGAAAACAATCCAATGAAGCATGTTTATTTTTCAGTAATACCAAAAAGAAAAAAGACACCTCACTGTTAGGACAACCTGTACAATGAGAAAAACCCAAGAGTTTCCATAGTCTATTGTATATATACATGAAAGTCAAAGGTCATAAAAGAATTAATGAACACCACAGGGTGCCAGTGGTTCAAGCCTATCATCTTAGTTACTGAGGAGGCTGAGATCTTTGGATTCAGGTTCTAAGCCAGGCTGGACAGGAAACACTATGAATTAACCACCAAAAAGCATAAACTGGAGCTGAGGCTCAAAGTAGTACAGAACCATCCTTGAGCAAAAAAGCTAAGGAACAGTGCCTAGGTCCAGAGTTCAAACCCCAGAAAGAGTGTGGGCACACCCACACACATACATTATGAATGCATTCTTTTTGGGGGGGGGTCGGGGGTCCGGTCGTGGGGCCTGAACTCTGGGCCTGGGCGCTGTCCCTCAGCTCTTCAGCTCAAGGCTAGTGCTCTACCACTTGAGCCACAGCCCCACTTCCAGCTTTTTTTCTTTTTGCTTATGTGGTGCTGAGGAATCGAACCAAGGGCCTCATGCATGCAAGGCAAGTACTCTATCACTGAGCCACCCATGAATGCATTCTTTTACAATTATTAGCAACAAGAAAAGACAAATCAAGCCGGGCGCTGGTGGCTCACGCCTGTAATCCTAGCTACTCAGGAGGCTGAGATCTGAGGATCACGGTTCAAAGCCAGCCCGGGCAGGAGAGACCGTGAGACTCCTATCTCCAATAAACCACCAGAAAACCGGAAGTGGCGCTGTAGCTCAAGTGGTAGAGCGCTCGCCTTGAGCTGAAGAGCTGAGGGACAGTGCCCAGGCCCAGAGTTCAAGCCCCACGACCGACAAAAAAAAAAAAGAAAAGACAAATCATTTAAAAAAAAAAAACTTTCTAGGAAGTCAAACTTCAAAAAAACTAAGAGCTAGGTGTGGGGGCTCATTCCTATAATCCTAACTACTCAGGAGCCTGAGATCTGAGGATCACAGTTCAAAGCCAGCCCTGGCAGGAAAGGCTGTGAGACTCTTATCTCCAATAAACTGCGTAGAAAACCAGAAGTGGTGCTGTGGCTCAAGTGGTAGAGCGCTAGCCTTGAGCTTAAGAGCTGAGGGACAGCGCCCAGGCCCAGAGTTCAAGCCCCACGACCAAACAAACAAACACACAAACAAAAACCTTAAGATTATATAAGAGTAAGCTAATCCATTTTTTATAATTTGGGTGATTCAATTAGAAATGAAAATATCAGATGATAGTATGATATACCTTAGAAATATTAAATGAGTAAGAACCTGCTGCAACAAAAAATCATTTAAGTATCAACTGTTCTCCAAATAATGAATTATATACATGCCAAGTCTACTTGTTGGTGTCAGCATTCCAAGATAATCTTTATTTTCTTGAACTTACTCTCATTCTATCTGTGAATTTGAGAATAATCTGGTAAAAATTCCATATGTCCATTTGATTTATTGAATATAAAGAACCGAAAGCTGATAAAAAAGACTCAAATAAGACCTATGAAAAGCAGAGTGTTAACGAGGAAAACACTCAGCAACTTACAATTTGATCCAGGAAGGATTCAATAACAAGTAAACATATTACAAAATACACAAAAAAAAATATCTGAAAGAGAAATGCATTTTAAAACTTCATTATATTACTACAAAATCAATATACAAATGTACATTATAATTCTCCACCACTGATTCTTTTATTTTCTCCTTCCTTCCTTCCTTCCTTCCTTCCTTCCTTCCTTCCTTCCTTCCTTCCTTCCTTCCTTTGTGCCAGTCCTGTGGCCTAAACTCAGAGCCTGGGCACTGCTCCTGACCTTCTTTTGCTCAAGTATAGCACTCATCACTTGAGCCATAGCACCAATTCTGGCTTTCCCTGTTTATGTGGTACTGAAGAATCAAACCCAGAGCTTCTTACATGCTAGGCAAAGCACTCTACCACTAAGCCACATTCCCAGCCCTCCTAATTCAATTTTAAAAACACTTGATAAAATTGACTGGGTTCCAAAACTTCCTGTGAACTAAGAACTTTAAAAAGAATGAAAACCATTTTTTTTGTTACAAGAAGACTATTTCATCTCTAAAACTCTAAACTTTTATTTTTCCCTCCACTATCAATGGAAGTGGGTTAGATCTGCCCCCCAAACCCCTATCCTTTTCATGCCTCCACTCCCAACACACCGGCCTAAAAAAAAAAAAACAATAGTAGCAGGTTCCACAATACTGGTCATCTATCATCTTTTTTTCTTATTTTCTTGAGGGCCCCAGGTATTATCTCTACTGTACTCTCTCTTCTCTCCCCCCCCCCACCCCAGCTGTTTCCCCCTTCCCCTCTTCTTTTTAGGGATTTGGTCAGGTTTTTTTTGGGGGGGGGATCATAACTACTACTAGAATGTTGAATTTCTCAGCTTCTCTCAGTCTTAGATCTCTAACACAGGCTTTGAAAATGTCAAAGGATTTGGACTAGTGTGTCAAAGACAAGTGAAAACTAATGATCAAAACTTAAAACATGTTCTTACCAATGAAAGATGCTGACTCACAGGAATCAGTGGCTTATGCCTGTAATCCTAGCTACTCAGGAGGATAATATCTGAGGATCAAAGCCAGCCCAGGCAGGAAAAGTCCATGAGACTCTTATCTCCAACAAAACCACTCAGAAAACCAGAGGTGGCACCGTGGTTCCAGTGGTAGAGCACTATACTTGAAGTGAAGAGCTGAGGGACAGTGCCCAGGACCCGAGTTCAAGCCCCATGATCTCTCCCCCACCCCATACATACACACACACAAAGATGCTGACTCATTTTTTTCTAATTTAGCTTTGCTGAGTATCTGGGGAAACATGGCGGGGGTGGGGGGCGCGGGGAGAGAATGGTAGTTTTATTAAGAAACCTAGGCCTTTAACAGTCTGTACACGAAATGGGATTTGCTTTCACAGCATGGCTTAAAACAAGCCCAAATTATATATGACAAAATTTAACTAAGACTGTATTATAGATTCACAGTACAGCTTGAAAAATGAATGTTGTGATGGGAATTCATCTCTTAACATTTTATAACCTTATACTTCTTGCCTTCTTGTGAGTTCAGTAGCCCTTTGACTTGTGAAGAATTTGCTGTCCTCTTAAGTGATTGCTGACGTCTCCCCTGAAATCTCCTGAACATGTGAACATTATTAAAGAAATAAAACTTCTGTTTCCCACACAAGTAACAAGTGACTTCAAAAACAACTCAAGCTAAGTAACAATAGCTCATGTCTATAATCCTGGCTACTTGAAAGGCTGAGAATGAGAAGATCGTGATTTGAGGCCACTCCGTTCACCAGACCTATTCACAACCCACAGATGTACATAGTGTACATATCTGTCACAAAGCTCATACTGGAAAGACTGTGGTACCAGGTCATCCTGAACAGAAAAGTCCATGAGATACCGACTCCAAGAAGAGAAGCTGGATGCAGCAGTGAACAACGGTGATTCAGCAATGATCAGGGAAGGCTAAATGGGCAGCTCACAGCTCAGGCAAATACCTAGGCAGAAAGTAAAAACCTTATCCTAAAATATAACCAGTGCAAAACAGTGCTTGAGGTGTGGTTCAGCAGTATCATGTTAGTCTAGAAAGCTAGAGACTGTAAGTTCAAACTCCAGTACAAAAACAAAGAAATTAACAATTATGTATCTACGGTCATTTTTCCAGGAATTTTACTTCCAGCAACTATGGAGTCTTCTCCCTTAAGGGGAAGAAAATCCAATAACATACAGATATGCTCTTTTTTCTCAGAGTCCAACAGTGCCAGGCCAGTCTTGTACTGCAATGGCACTGCATCTTGGTATCATGAGGCAAAATTAGAAACTAAAGATTTCCAAGTAGAAAAGAATTTTTTTGGTGTGAGATAAAATTTTGCTACATAGCCCAGGTAGACCTCAAACTCATGATATTCCTTGCCTCAGCCTCCTGTCAGGATTACAGTTGTGCACTACCATGCCAGTTTCTGGAAAGAATTCCAGTGATCATCCTCTATGATTTGGATTAATTCCCCCCAAACTCCTCATGGTAAAGGCTTGATCCCCAGGCTGGGGTAGTAGTGGGAAGTGCTGTGCATTTTTAAGGGGCAAGCTTTAGGGTGAGACCTAGAAGATCCTTGAGTCATGAATACTGGAGATTGCCCTCAAAACAACTGTGGTACTTATCTCTTCTATCTCTTCTTAGCTGAGGACATGAGCAAACTGCTCATGATAAGCCACTCTCCCAAAGCCTCAAAGCAGTGGGCCCAATA